ACTCACGAAATTGTCAGAAATGTTTAAAGTTTTATGAAATTGTACATGATTTACATGATTTGTTCACTTTGTTCTTTTGTAAATAGTTATTTAAATTTATGTTTGTAAGTCATTTATGAAATGGCCATTTAATATTTTTTTTTTAGATATTTATTACTAATATTATTTCTAAGTAATAATTTTATACAAATTTTATTTCTGCTTCCAAATGACCTACTTTAAATAGGGTTTCCCAATTCCGCAAACGCTAGTTGATCATGCGCAAATTGGCACATATATCTGCAAATAAAAAACCCAAATTTCTCAAAATCAAATCAAGCTAAAAGTCACTTGAAAGAATGACTGGCAAGTAAGCGAAAATGGGTGGACAAATTTCAGTGGACGTTAAGTAACTGTGGCCAAATGAACTCAACTAATCCGAAAGTGACAAAACAATTTGGCAAAACAAAGGCAAATTCGCTTTTGACCCATATGCGGCAGATTCTGCACTCCGTTAAACAAAACAATTCAATGGAGAAGCTTCGGCTTCGGTTTGATTACAAAACCCATCGACAATTTGCCACAATTTGTGGTGGAGTGAAACCTTTTAGCTTTTAGCCGAGATGATGTATGGTATTTGGGTATTTGGAGAGTGGCAAGGAAGGAAGGGGTGGAGTTGCGCAAATCCGAGACAAAGACTGGGCCTGGTGATGATGATAGATCATGGCGGAGTTTTTCTTTTTCTTTTTTTTTTTTTGGGCTTCTGGCGGATGTGGCATGTGCCATGTGCCATGACTCCATAGGATGTTCTCCTCCGACTTGGAACTTGGTCTGTTTAGCATATTCATTGTTGATTGCAGCACAGTGATAATTATCATTCCTACGACTTCTGCCGCTTTTGCTGTTCTGCCTTTAATTACCTTCCTCTTTTGGCTTTGCATAATTGCATTGTTGTTGCCGAAATCGTCATTAGAATTTTTATTTGCACAATAATCAACTAGTTCCGAAGTCATAAAAAAGAGAACAACCCGAAACCGAACTGCATTGTTTTTGTGCAATGGCAGAGAATTCTGTTTTTATTTTTTGGGAGGGGGCAGCGAACTCCAAGCCAGAACAAAGAGAACTAAATGCGTTTAACCAAATGTTTGCGGTCTGTTTGCCAGTATTTTTTTTTTTTTTTATTGGGTGTTGGGAGATGGGGGAGGTTTCGTTACCGCCAGAAAACTGCAATTGACAAATGAAGCTGGGTATAAAACAAGTAATGAATGAACTGGCCAAGAGGATGCAGTCTGGAAAAACCTTGAACTACTTGGCTTTCACAGATAAATGAATTTCAGCTATTTATTTAAATTAGATAAATTAGGAAGGAAGCACAGTAAGAATATTATTTTTATTAAGAGAATCGTAGTTTCATCCTAAAAATATCGGTGTGGTTTGTAGTGATTACCTTCTTCCCAGAAATGTTTTCTTTCCACAGATTAAAGCACTCAAAAATCTTCTTAAAAATCGAATATCTGAAGTTATTATTCAAGATTAACGAGCTGTAAAAAGGCAGTCTTAATATTTTCCAATCACTGTTCATTAGGCAGAATAATAACCTCTTTAAATCAACAGTGACTCTTAAATATGTAACCTGAACCCACGCAAATCAAATATGCCTAAGATACCTTTCAAGAATTCAGAGTACTCCTATAATGCCCTATTAATTAAAACCACAAACAATAAACAACTTGTGGTTAAAAAGCGATCAGTTAGAGGTCAATCTGCGCTGACCCTGATGTAATGTCATTAAGGGTAATCCAATTCTTTGCAACCAAATTAAAAAACATTTCTAAACTAATTTAATAAATTACAGCATTAGGCGCATTAAAACTGACAAAGGAATGGAAACGGAAAAGCTGAGAAAAAAATGCGTTTACTGTCATATCATATATATTATCGTTCATGGAGACGGGAAGCCGACATTTATAAGCCACATAATTACTTGATCATTGTTTTCGTCACGTATTAAACAATTTTCAGAAGAAGAAGCGTTACCGCCACCGCTGATGATGATGATGATGATGGATCTGCCCGACTTCAACCTTCGAATGGGTAAAAGTCAAGGTCGCATCGAGTAAATTACCTTAAGCTCGGCGTGTGAAATCATTGGAAATGAATGGGGGCGGTAGGAAAAGACCTCTACAACGATCTATTAATTGTGCATTAACCACAAATCAATTGGGAAACGTAACCTGCTTTTCAGTAATAGAAAAAGTGGGGGACCAACGCCTAATGATAATAAGTTATTTTCAAGAAATCCATACGGCAAACTGCTGCCCATTTTCAGTGGTCTGGTGCAGTGCAACTGGCGCTGATTAAGGGAATTTCTCACACAATCCAACCGCCGAAACGACTCGCTCTCGAAACCAAAAACTAAGCCACGAAAGACGTTTGGCAATGTCTGGCTGTCTGACAACTGCAAATGCTTTGCTTTTCTCGAAGGTGAACCAGAATGCAGCAGTCCCAGGTCTTGAGACTCCGTTCCGTCGATGTCTCAGCAATTGAAGCGCACTCGATGAACCGGATTCGGATTGCCACCGTGCACATCTTTTGAAAGTGAGCGGCTCGGTCGACGGCTGGGACTGCATTAATTCTAGAGCAAATGAATGTCTCTTGCCAAAGGCAGCGATGGAAATTTATTGCAGCATTTTATTTTAATTAGTCTAATTTATGATAATTTTTTTTTAAATCGAAATTAAATGCTGTCAAATGGTGGGGAAATAAGATGGAATCGCTTGCACAACATCCGCATGGGATTACAAGTTCTGAAGATGCCCCCACAACCTAGAAAACATTCGGTTTACCATTACCAACAATCACAAGTCAATGGACAAATAACCAATAGCCAAATTAAAACAAATTAGAATGTAATGTTGTTTGCCCAATAAGGGGTGAATTACTTATTAAGTATTAAGTACTTTAGTTTACCATTTAAAATAATACAGAAACAATTTAGTTATTAGTTTTGTTGCTTTTGGAGATTTTCTGTTAAAAATAAAATTTAAAATATTTATATTTTATTTATATTTATGTTATGAATGAAATTGCAATGTTGAATTTCCTTCACTAAAAAATGTAAATTAATTTTTTTTAATGTGTGATTTTTAAATATAAATACAACATTATGTAAGCAATGAAATGTGAACCAGTTCCGGGAGATTTCCTTAATTAAATTTTAAGCCTTTTAATTCAATAAATCTTTTTTAACACTTTTTTTAAGTGGAACACTTAAAGATGTAAAAATTACATTCTGTACGCCTTTCCCTTTCCGCATTGTTAACGTTTTCCAATCAATGCAAATCAAGTTCGTTGCCTAAGTCTTTCGTTTATCCGGCGCTAATGAACGAAAATTTCGCATTTAACGCGACAATTAAATGGAATTGCCGCTAAGTTGGCCAGTGGCATCATCAATAAGCTGAAACTTGCACTAATTTTTCGCAGCTTTGCGACACAGCCAAGCAAACATCAACAAACCGCGAAAACAAAACAAAAGCCGACCGCGGTTTTTTGGTGTGTGGGCCCGAAAATCAAAAAAAGTCCCCCGCACTCATGAATGAGAGAATAACTACGATTTAAAGAGCCGAGACGAGCCGAACCGAGGCATCAATAGACACGATGATTTAGTTTTTCCAGCTTCGTCTCTATGGCGATGAGGTTGCTCTTTGGTAATTCCAACGATGACGCGGTGGATTTAGCCGCTGCCAGCCTCGCTCATCTGCAGAGAGTCCCAACGACGTCGGAGCTCTGCTCTTGAGTATAAAACAAAAATTGATGCGAATTTTTTTACAACTTTTGCATCAACTTCAAACGCGGCAACACGTGCAGAGCCCCAGCGCTTGTTCCTTCGCTCGTAACGATTTTGAAGTGAGTCCGAGATCCCAAATTATACGATACGATACGATCGGATCTATAATAAGTTGCGGCGTGTGTTCCGTTAGCGCGGCAAAGTGCGTGGCATTCAAATTGTGCTGCGAGTTAAGCAATCGCAATCAAATTACGTTCCCAAGAGGAGCAAAAAGTGGTAGAGCGAACTGGCGAAGATGCAGTAGTGAACACTAGGCCAATAAGAAACCAACTTTAGGCGCGGAAAAACTCTTCACAAGCATTTGGAGCCTTTTGTTTTTTCCGTAATATTTCAAGTGGTTCTAAAGGATAATTAAAATAAAATATTGAAACGCGTTTAAAGTTCTGAAAGCTAATATAAGAATGCTTATACATTTTAAATGTATGAAATTCTATAAAAATCAGAGCCCTCAAAAGAATTTGTAATTTGGTAATTTGTAAATTAAATTAAAGGACTCAAGTAATACTGTAAAGGATTTTACTAAATTATACGATCTATAATTGAAAAAAAGCGAAACCAATATTATAAATATTTGTTTAATAAATATATGCCGTATATATTTATCAAGCTAAAAACATTAAAAGCAAATTAGAAGTCTTAATTAAATATAATAACTTCTCAATAGCTAAGTTTTTAATAATTTTTTGATGTCTTTAAAATTATTAGACTATACACTATTTTAAGCAAAAAGAATATCAAATTTTTCAGACAAACTACTAAAAAATCATGTTCTTAAATACCCAAATTACCATTTAACAATGTGGTTAACAAGAATCCAACGCAATATCGTTAGCCCCGAGTAAAACAACTCGAATTATTATCAATTAAGATCCATTAGAAGCATCCAATCCGCCGCACAAAAAGTGAACGCAAGCGGCAGCAGCTGCAACATTCACGGCAGCAATACTCGATTTCCCATTAGCAATCGCGGTTGCCTCCTCGCGGCAGCACAATAAACATTTAGATATAAAATCTAATTATATACCGCATAACCCAAGAAAGAGAAGAAGATGTTTCCTTTCTAAAAAACCAAAAAAAGAAACATAATGCTGTAAACAGAAAATTAATATCATCAACCCACTCGACTTGTTTTCTTTCGATTTTCGTTTTGTATTTTTTAGATAGGAAAAAAATCACATTTAAATTACGTACTACCAAAAAAATCAAAAAAAAAAAACCAACAGACATCATGGCAGCCACAACAACAGCGAACAAATCACCGCAGCAACATGAACAGCAGCAACATAGACGGCAGCAACATCTTCAGTGGAGCGCCTGCATTTTGATAGTCGTGTTCGGACTGTTTTCGATGCTGGCAGGGAACTGTGTCAATGGGGTAAGTCGAGCCGTCTTCTTCCCGATCCTAATCCAAAAAAAGACCTCTAAAGCCCCTTCCCTTTTTGATCGTTTTTATGGCCCGCAATTACAACAGATATCTTTTGTCTAAGGGTTTTTATGAGCTTGGGAAATGGCTTATTGAATAATTTGGCCAACATTGATTTGACAACTCCATTGGCCGCGTCTTTTCCCATTTGGCCGTATCGTTGCTGTATCAACATGAGCAGCAACAGCGGCAACACACAAAAAAGTGTCATCTGAGATAATTTCCTACATTCATTCCGAGTAAAAAGATTGCGCACACCATTTGTCTCTTGTTTGATAGGGATCTCAACTAGCAACAACATTGGCACGCCAGCAACAACAAACTCCCACGCAAAGTTGCAGCCACGGCAGCAGCAGCAACAGCAACAACAACAACAACAACAGCAACACTAGCAACTAGTAACACCAGCAAACAATTACAATTGTTGCCACAAGAAAATAGCCCAAAAAAACGCTTGCGGCCCCCCTTTCTCCCTTCTGGCCATCTTCTTTTCATGCTGCATGCAATTTTGCAAGTGCAGAAGAGCCCGAAAAGCCAGAAGAAGCTGCAGAAGATTCGGGGCCCCGAGGAGAAGAGTAGCCAACACACGAAGCAGACAACCTGTCTGCCAAAGTGTTAGACAACTTCTCACGTCCCAAGCCAGAAACACACAGAAAAAAGTAAAAACCAAAGCTCCCTCAAGTTGGGGACGCCTCTTTCTAAAAAGGTGTCGTCATGAGTCTTTCTTCTTCTGATTTAAATACACTAACTAAAGGGAGTTGTGTACTTGTAGGTAGTTACTGCAATATATATTTCTCAAAAATGTATCATTTTCTAAAATTTTATGATCTGAAAATCAACCAAAATTATAAGATATCATCTTCTAAGTTTGTTTCAAAGCATCAACATTTGTATTTAATTAAATATGTAATCAAAAAAATTAAAGGATTAACAACTTTGCAATTTTACCTATTGATTACCATTAAATACTTCTAAATTTGTGTGAATGATAAAAACAAATACTTGTATTCTTGAATTTGAAAAATTATTTAAAACTTAAATTTTTTATTTTTCAAGTTTAATAAAGCATAAATTTGTTGTTCATACAGTAAATAAAAAATAGCGCCAGAAACTACAAACATCTTTTTTAGTGTATCCAAAAAAAAGGGTAAACAACATTCGCTTTTCACCATTTGAGGCAATCTCCGTTGTGTTACATTATCAATTAGCCTTGGTTGCCCCTCAGCCGCGCGCTCGTCAAACAGAAATAAAAGGAAAATGCAGGGAAAATTAACCATTTTCCAGTTGTAACTCCCATGCCAACATCCCATCGTCCCATCTCGGTTAGTTGGCTTAGTCGCGTCCGCTGGCAGCGAGTTGGTATTTAAAGGAAAATGCTCTGGCCAAAGGTTGAGAGCGGGGGGAAGTAATTGATGGTGTGCGGGGATTGGGATTGGGTCGAGAGTGGCATCTTGTCCGCTTTTTGGGTTACTGAGGCAATGGGCGGTCTATATAGTTTGTTGTTCAAGTCTTTTGTTGCCGTTGAAAATGTTAAAAACCCCTGGAAAGTTATTAGCGTGAAAATTGCAAGTGATTGAGAAAAGTTAGGACGAGAAACGATGCAGCTCGAATTTGCAATGCAATCGAAATGAGACTGGAGTGGAAGGTGTATCCTAAGTGCACTAAGAAAAATTAGGGAGAACATGCGGAAAAAAATCATATTTTCTTGCATATTTTGAAGTTGGTTTTAAATGAAATGAAATAAGTAATAATCTATTTATTAATCCTCTATTGACTTTTGTTTATTTAACAAGCCAGTAAAATCTGGATCAATCCTTGATGAAAACTCTTTAACATTCCCCATAACCACCCAAAGTTTTCCCATGAATAAAACCCCTACTTTTAAGCCTTTTTCCCACCCCATCAAAGTGCTGCACATTGCCAATCACTTTGCCCTGTCCCAACATCTTCAATTAGCATAAACTCAGCATTAACCCAAATAGGCGAGCGCCAACGGCGGCAACTTTAACCCCTTGAAAGCCGAGATGGGCCGAAAGGGAGTGAGATTTATTTGAGCGTAACGGCGGCAACAATGGGGATAAGAAATCGAGGCAAGATCAAGATAGACAGCCGCCGAAGATGCAACATACGGGGGCACAAATGAACAAATGAGGCTGGAACCAATGGATGGGCCTGTTCCCCAGAGAGATCGACACAAAAGAATCACATCTTTCCAACTCCGATATGTGGGCGGTGTGTTGTGATCCGTGTTGAAGCCGTCGAGTTTTATTGTTTTATTTTGCTCTTTTCGGCTTTTCATGGTTTCGTACGCATGAGATTGACAGTTGGTTGTCACATACACATACTCCCCCCCGCCCCCTCCCCCGCCAATTATTTGCAACTGTTGCAAGTGCACAATTTTCAACACTCGCTGGTTCTTTTGTTGGTTTCTTTTTTTCGACAGTTTTTTGGGCTGTTGCATTTGCATTTTAAATTTGTTGTTTGTGTGGCAATTGTTTCAAATTGTAATTTGTTATTGTTTAGAGTTCATTTTGTTGCTATGCTTGGGCAATGTTTTTGGGCTGCCACATGAGCCACCTGCCCCACCTCCCACACTGCCACCCACAATTGAAGGTCGCTGAGCTGCCTGCGCTGAGATAATTCACACGGGAGATCTACAAAGTCATAATTTAATTCAACATCGGATGTGCCAGAGAATTACTTTTAACTGCATTTTTATTAAACATATTATATTGCCTTTTGAATGATCAAAAATGGGGGTAATGATATGACAAGCTTAATTTCTTTAATACAAAACTACAACGAGTTTTTTTATTGTTATTTTGAAATATATGGATCCAAAGGTGGTAGACAACTTTTTCAACTTCACGAAACATAATATTTAGTACGAATAAGTTTAGGGGCTAATAATTTATTACTAATATATGTCACTGTTTATTTCTATCTGTATTTGAATGCATAAAATAATTTTTAAAATATTTGTTTTAATTTATTCTTTAGCAAATCGATGGATATACTGCTGGTGAGGATTACCCTGCCTACGATGCCGTGCCCAAGGGTCTGGCCTTCAATTGCCAGGGCCGCCAGCCGGGTTACTATGCCGATACAGAGACGCGTTGTCAGGTGAGGACTAAAATATTAACCTATATACTAAAGAACTTATATAATATATCTATCGTATCTACAACTTCTAAGAACAAGAAAAGCTCGTTTTAAACAAAAGTGTTCAATCAAACTGCCTTAACGGGCAACGAAATCTTTCAAAAATATGACTTTAATTTATCAATTTACTATTCCATACTAGGTCTGGCATTGGTGCCTCCACTCTGGCCACCAGTACTCCTTCCTCTGCCCGAATGGAACCGTTTTCAACCAAGCCGTGAGGGTCTGCGACTGGTGGTCGAATGTGAACTGCGAGGGCTCGGAGCAACTCTACCAGAACAACGACGAATTATATCGCATCCCAGAGCGCCAGCAGCAGCAGAATGAAGTATGATATGAGGCCGATGATGAGTATAAGATTGGGACAGCAAACGGAACCAGACAGCGCGGCGGAAGACAGCGGCAATTTCAAAAGCAACAGCAACAGCAGCAGCTGCAGCAGCAGCAACAACATCAACAACTAAACAGCAACATCAGCGGAATCAATAGCAACAATAGAATCGTAGATAGCAGCGACTACAGTAAAATGACCAAAAATAGCTTTAGAGGTAGCATGAGATTTACCACACCAAGTACCAATCCTCAATCGTCATACTCATCATCACAGCAGCAGCAGCAACAGCAAAATCAGCATCAGCAACAGAAGCAACATAATTCTAGTAAAAATAGCGAAAGAAAATCAAAGCCTAGTAGAGTTAACCATAGAGATAGGGAAAGCAACCAAACTAGATCTAGGAATCGCACTCACAATACCCATCAACCCGGCAATAAAAACAACAACAACAGCTCACGAGGCAAACAGCGATATAATACAAATAAATTCGAAAATGATGCAGAGCTCAAGGATTACAAGAGCAAGATCAAGAACAAATACAATATCGATTATGATCATTCTTTGGATGAAGAATATGAAATAATCGAGGCCATCGAATGAGTTTAACTAGCTTAGTACTCGTTGTTCTTGTTGTTGTTGTCGTCACAAAACCCCCATGAATTGGCGCTTCTTTCCCCCCCAAAAGTTTTGAATGTTCCCCTAAAATTATCCGTTGTATATATGTTAAAGAAAAACACATTCCTTTCATTGTTAAATATACACACCACCTTTCATCTTCATTTAAAATTGTAAAGAAAAACTTTAAAAAATGAAATAAAAACATTTCAAAAGATTAAACAATATTTTATTTATAGATTGATGTGCTTTAAAAAGATTTAAAAATTGTTTTAGTAAACAAATGAATACGTTAAAGTTATAATGGTTATTTTAAAGCAGCTTAATGTAAATAATTAACAAATTTGGAAGATACTTTTCAAATAAGCTTACTTAATTGGAAGGTTTGAAGCCCGGAAAAACAAAATACTGTAAGTATTTTAGCTTTTGTCAGTGATCAATTAAAGCTCTTCAAAGCAGTAAAATTATTAAAAACTGAAAAATAAACGTAGGAAAATGAAAATGTACAATAATATTTATATATAATTTTAACACTGATTTTACTTTAAGAAATATTCGTGCAATTGAAACTGGAATTTAGGACTTATACATCTCACATAATACATTCAATTAAACGATTTAAAATTGTAAAGAATTATGTTTCAGCAGAAAATCCAGAAAACCAGTTGGAATAAATTTAAATTACTTGCAGAAAAACTGTGAGCGATTGAATGAATCTAGACAACTCCTCTGAGTTTCCGATTACCCAATTCTTTAAGACTTGGCAATCACATTCATTTATTCATAAAAAGCGTAAAGAATTCAAATGCATTCACTGAATACGTTCATGTGGAGTATAGTCTCAACTAACTGTGGATAAGCTTTTGATCATATGGTTTGGGCTTTCGAACCGTCAACAAGTGTCAATTTTAAAGTAATTTTATCGTTGTGCACCGCTTTGCGTTTTCATTGTTTATTTCTATATAAACATCTCTGGGGTAAATATACATGGTCTATTTAATTATTTTGTAATTAAAATTAATTAAAATTTATTTTGCAGAAGAAAACGAAAATAAAAAAGGAAGAAAAGAACCAAACATGTTGGAGTTGTGGGACATGTTATGCTTGTTCATTATAGACATTGCTCTATATATCATAACTATGCCTGATTTGCCTATATGGGTTTTTTTGCTTTTTACGTTGTTACTTATAAATCAACCTCTCACAAGATATGCCGTGGTTATCTTCAACTATATTGCCAAGTGTTATTTATTCCCATATTGCGACGAATGGCTGACAAAAATGGAAAATAACCAATAGGCCTTACAAAATATTATTTTTATTTCAAAGGTATGGTTTTTCAATTGTTCCATAATTCGAAATAAATACCAAAACCTTAAAAACAAACCTTTTTGTATATAAAATAAATAATAATAACTAGATTAACCATGCGAGGAGGTTTTCAAAACAAATACCATTGGGTAAATACAAAAAAATTAAACAGTTTTTGATGACAGAGAGAAATTCAAACTACAACCGAATCAATAATTACCAACAGAAAAATTGAAAACGGACCCATTATTAATGAGTACAAGCTTCACGTAATATTTGTATGGGTAAACCTTAAAGGAGCTAAAAACTAAAACGAACACAAATATTACAGAAAATATCTTTTATTGAAAATTTTCTGCTGAGTAAGACCAAAATATTGTACGCATCTTAGCTTTTGTCAGTGGTTAACTAAAAAATTCAAGTTAAAAAAAGACTGACAAACCAATGTAAGAAAATAAAAATTCAAAATGTTATAATTATTTAATTTTTTTATTTTAACAACGAATTTGACTTCGGGCAACATTCATTCGGTCTTTCATCAGCTGATAAAAATCAACTTGAATCTCAACTGGGAATAAGCTTTTGATCATTTGGTTCCAGGCTTGCGGTTCGTCAACAAGCGCGATTTTGTAAGTAATCTCATCGTTCCGGAAATAATTAGAATTTTATCGTGTTTTCCGTTATTCAAAAATTCTACGCTAAGCGTAAAGTTACATTTTGGAAAAGGAAACTACAAAAAATGGTGCTTTTATTGATATTACATTAAATAAAATGTATATTTTTTTATTTTTGTATAGGTTTAAAACTATTCAAAACTAACAACAAACAATGGATTTTAATTACATTGTGGGTGCTGTGATGATGGTTGACTTGGTTCTAGGACTCTTCGGCTTGTGTGGTCTAATCTGCATGGTTTTGACAGAATGTATACTCCCATATTTCTACAAAATCAATGAACAAACTGGACAATCAGCCCTCCAAGCATGATGTTCTTTTTTTTAACTTTGTGGTCATTATTCAGATCATTTATTTCCAATTTCCATTTAACTAAACAGTCGCATCACAAGGCCCAACATATATTTAAAAACTACCCATTTTAAAAAATGTATTAATGTAATTTTATTTACATAAAATAACTATCAAAAACTAAAAAGGAATTTTTTTATTAGTAAATAAAAGCAAAGAACTGAAGAATAACAAGATAAAAACGGCCCCTTTGTTTTTTAGCAATAAAGAAATATACATAAACGGTTCTGTCTCTTTTGGTTTCTTGGGTAAACAAAACAGAGTGCCACAAATTAAACAGGCCTTAAATAGCTGACTCCGGTGAAATAAAAATCCTGTAATAAGCAAAAATCGAGAAAAGAAGCAAACTTCGGCAAACCAAAGTTTATAATACCCTTGCAGCTGTTATAAATGTTTATTCTATAACAAAAAAAATAATTTAAAAACTTTAAAGATGTATCGATTTTTTACTGAGAGGCTTGTTTTTGTAGAAACGGAAAAACGGGCGGACGGACGGACATGTCTAGATCGATTCTCCTGTTGATGCAGATCAAGAATATATATACTTTAAAGGGTCGGGAATGTCTTCTTCACCGCGTTTCAAGCTTTTGACTAAAATTATAATACCGTCTGCAAAAGTATGATAAGAAATGAGTGTCCCAAAAAATCAGCTAAGCCCATTAAAGATTTAATTATTTAAATGGAAGGACAAAAATATAATTTCATTATGTGTACAAAAATATTTAATTTAGTTAAACTTTTAATAAATATTTTTCTAGCAAAGCTTTCGTTTAGAGCTTTAGCCGATCTTTGTTCATATATACATATTTGGTTTTATATCTATAGTTGTCTCTTTTGCACATTAAATCTCTTTAAAGCTTAACTTGACGGCAATCAGCTGTTGACCATATGGGATATAGCTTTCGATCCAGCTAAGAAGAAGAAATTTGGTAATTGTCAAAAAATATTTGTTTGTGCTGCGTACGTTTGTATCTAATTTTGTTTATTTCAATAAGAAGATAATGTTTATAGAGCGATGGATAAATAATGCGGTAAGTATTTTAGCCAACTAATGATCTCATAATAAAAGCTTTGCCTGGTATACAACTATACTATGAGAGCACAAACACTACCAACTTCGGGAAATGTACACAAACGCGGCCTAAATGGTTGGTGAATGTTCACTGTGACGTGGAAATGGGAAGAGGAAGCAGACAATGGTTAGCCGACATAATAAGTTAGCTAATCGCCCTTCACTGGATTAGCATCTACAGCCAATGTTTTGAAGAAAATGTGGGAGGTGGCATAATAATGTAGATCGTGTTAAGATTGAATAGGTCTTTACGTTCCAAAAAAATACTTTTTTTAAATAGTTAAAATAGTTATTCGAAATTTGTATTATCAAAAATTAGTATTATACGTTTCCAAAAATATTATAAAAAGATCATTTGTTTAAATATTATATAATATAAACCCCAATGATTTGGGCTTCATAAGATTTTTAAGTGGATTTAAATAAAGTCTTAACACTTATTAATAATCTAAAATCAATTAATGTTTTTGAACAAAATTTGAACTAATGCTTAATGCATAAAATAAATTAATAAGGAATATATTGTGAAAAAACAAATGCCTATAAATGAGAACATAACTATATTCGAAAATAGATTTGTCTATTGGTCTTTGAAAAATTCTATAAACATATTCTTTCTGCAGTTAAAAAAAAAATAGAATTTTATTATCAACTATAATTTTATATATTATATTATACCTAAATCAAATAAGAGTTCATTTAAAATGTGGTTATCTTTTAACTGAATCAAAGTTGGTTTACAAAAACCTCTCCAGAGTTGTCGATAACTTGTCTAAAGTAAAACGAATGCAAACACCTCCTGCAATCTATGTGTGCCGATCATAATCATTTCCACACATCCACACCCCATTCCAAACGCAGCCACCCAGCCGAATTTAAATGAGGAGGAAAAGAGCTGGAGTTGAAGAAGTAGTTCAAGTTTTCAAGTTTTGTATGCCACAACGGGAGACTGATATATTTCGTTTCCGCGTACAGCAAAGCGAAATAATCGCAGGTAATTATATACCATATATACTACACCTACGCAATGCCAGTCGTTCGTGCATAAGAAATAGGCCCCAAACTGATGCGGAAATATAGCGTCTTTAGGCAAATGAACATAAGAAATTCAAAATTAACAACTTAAATCGAAATCAAAAACCAAAACGAAAACCAAAGCCTAATTAAAAGTCAATTTCAATTTCAGTCATTAACCGAAAGCGGGACAATGTGTGACACAGTTTTGTTTGGCACTATTAACCCGCCTTCCCTGTTAACCCACGAGTGCCCCCAGCTGCTGGGAATTATAAATCACAAAATGTTACTTTTCTTGACCATTCACCCACATTCGTTTTCCCCACATTTCGGTTCACGTTTTTTTTTTTAATGGGTTAGACGACAACAAAAGCAACGACGAACTGGTAACTGGAGTCAGGTTAACACCATTTGCATTATGTAAGAAGCTTAAACAATATTTTTTGCCTCTTCGCCAGCCCAGTGTTGGTATTGTTGTTGTTTCTTTGTTACGATTTGTTGGAAGTGTCCACTAATTAATATGCAACTAAATAATTTACAATGTGACGCGAATTTCATGCAAAATATGAACAGAAAAACGAAACGACTTGATGAGGGCAGAGGGCGGAGCAAAACAAGAAATTAATTCATTAACTCGTCTTCATGATGTTGAAATTGTCTTCAATAAATTGTGCAAATTAATTTAATTTACCAGAAGGGATGCCGAGTTTTGGATTGGGGAAGTTTAAATGCTCTTGCAAACCATAGTAAGTTAACCAAAATATTAAAGTCAAACATATATCTTTAAAAAAGTTAATCTCTAATTTTGTTACTTCCAAACAAGAAATACATACATCAAAAATGCAAAATTAAAAGAAAATTTAATATCTTATTCATATTCAATACAATTAAAGCTGTAAGATTTATTTAATTCAATTAAAATATTCTGTTGCAAGCGTTAAGTCTACAAGAAGTATTCAAATCATCGATGTCTTATGTTTGCATTATTTCTGTCTCCATACAGGAAGCTCTTAATTATTAAGACAATATTTTTTAAATAGTGCAATTTATGCAATGCTTATATCGAATAATAAGATTAAAAACTACAAAAACGCATTTATATATGTACAAAATGCAATTATGCTGATTGGTATATCACAACTGCACACTATTAAAAAATAACCAAATATTCATTTAAATGTAAATCATTTATGACTTTTCTAATTAAGAACAGTAAAAAACGAAACTAACTGGCATAACTCACCAAATTTTTAAGTTAACATCAGAGATATCAACAAATTTGCACATTTAATAGAAAAAATTAAAATTCCAAGAAAGGCGAACTAAAATAATAATATTATTGCTCACATACGGTTATACACCAAAATACACGGTTATGCAAAGAAATGTTCCTATTAGGCAAAGCCTACTCTTTGCTTAATTAATTGAATAATTATCACATAAAATCACAACTCTCGGCAAATTTTCTTGATACGACTCTGACCAAATTGAAAGTTTCCCTGTTAACTTCTTCTTTTGCGCACTTGCTACACTCTTTCCTCTCTCTCTGTCTACGACCTCCCGCTCTTATGTTTCCTAGCAGTTATGGTAAAAACCAAAACGATGAATTCCTTCTTCGTGAAGTTGGTGGTGGTGTTTATAAGTTTAAGTATTTATTGTATCGGGAGCCGTGGATGGAAAATATAGAAAACTGGACTGGTTTTGTCAAATCAAAGACTGACTTCTATAATATTCAGCAGTGGCCAAGAGACCGCTGCTGCCAAAAGTACATAGTTCTTATATATCTTACATACTAATACAATGTGCATAAACATAAGTGTGTAGTTCGAGTGCCGCTGCTTCCAGAGGCGATCCGCTGAGTCGGTGTCTCGTTTCCTGGTTGAGAGGAGTTGGGGTTTCCACACTTACATTTTATTATGTTTTAAGTTTTTTTTATCGATTATGATTACAGAATCCTAATGTATGATAATCAAGAGCGATTAGGTCTTCCGAAAATATATTTGGTATGAAATTGTTATAATAATAGATTTACATCCAAATATTTGTATACCTCGCTTCGGTATTCCATGCGTTTAGTAATCTAGCAAATAGTATATGAGTGATACGATTTTGTGATGAAAATTAAAGAAACCTACCAAACCCGAGATATACATCTTGACTATGCTTGACCAAAGAGTATTTATAGGAGACGTTCAAGTATGCTTCATCAATGTCTTCTACCTGCGAGAGAAATATTTTTAATAGCCAAAGCCTTGACTTATTATAATGCTTACATGGAATTTCGGGACATTGTATTTTTCAAATATAGTAAGTTTTAACGGTTTTTGCAGAGAAGGATTCCGTACAGCTTTCAAAATTGAGTAAAGTTTGATAACAGGGATATAAACCTCATCCTCCTCCACACAGCAGAATTCCCACGTGACGTAATTGAGCTTTTGACAATATTCAAAAATCGGCAACAGGCTATCTGTATTTACATCGATTTGACCATCGTCAACTATACGTAATGATTCAAGATCAGTTAGTTTTCCGAGGTCTGATAGGTTATTGCACCATTGGTTGCCCGTAATATTTACTTTTTTTAATGACTTAATTTGCGAAATTTCGTGGATTTCATCATTACATGTAATTGGTGTCTGCAGTTCTTGTAAATTTGAGTCACTTCTAAGAGCAAATGCACGGTAAAGTTCACTGAGCGAGTCCACTGCTGCATAGATGATCAATTCCTTTAGATTTTTTATGTTTGCCAAAACTTCTATACCCGGAATTTCGTACAATACGCATTTTAATGACTCCAATGTTTCATGTTGGGCCAAATATTTACATTCATTTAATCCAATTGAGTTATTGAGTAAGTCCAATTTTTGAAGAGTTGACGGCGATTTGTGTACCAAAACCCTAAATACACTTTCCAAAGGGTTAACTTCATTATTATTAACCTGATCGATTACCAAGTGCTGAAGATTGGGTAATCGGTCTAACATTTGCGCACATTCTAAATTGTGGAATCCCGCACGTAAACTTTTCAGGCTGTTTATTTCAATAATTTCAGTCATTTCCGAAATGTTAATTGTTTTGGAAGGATCCAATGGATTCCGTGGATCGCGAAAAATGTCCAGGTGCTGCAACCTAGTGGCACTACTTGAGGAAAATGCTGCAAAAAATGTTTGTAGTGATTGGTTTGGATTTTTTACTATTACAATTAATTCTTCAATACTCGAGTTAGCTAGCTCGGACAAGGATTGAAAATCATCATTGTCCGAAAAGCCACACTTCAGTGTTTCTAGGGACTTTATTCGGGAAACCTGTATAACCTCTTCGGGAACGAGTTCTCCGGAATATTGAAATCGTTGAATTATATTCCTTTCAGCCAGCTTTGTGAAGAGAGCGGTAAGGCTTCCATTTCCGGTTAACTCCAAGACCTGGAGATTATTTAGTTCAGCCAATTTCTCAATTCCAGATAATTCTGATAGCTTGCACGACAGTTTCTTAATGGTTTGAATTTCTGACACTTTTGAGATATCTGAAAATTCTATATTATCAATTTCACAAAATATTAATTCTTCGATCGTACTTAAATTGGTGGCGAATGCTTGGAAAAGTAAATTTAGTTTTTCATTAATTTGATACCTTGTGCTCTTTCTAAACTTTTGTTCCGTATAAATCTTCACCTTTTTTCCATTCCTTCTCAAGGTAAAATCTTTGGAAGCAATTGTAACTTGCACCTGACTTTCACTTAGCAGGTTGAGGACTTGCTCTGATGTATGCGAATTAATGGTTTCGTGTACATAAATAATAAGGTGTTGCAGGTTTCTTAATTGACTGAAAAACTTGATCGAATACCATTCAAACAAATGGCACGCCAGAACTCGAATGGATTCTATTTTTGCAAGTTCTGAGACCTCCAATCTATCCAATGATATATAATTTATTATGATAGATTTCCAAGCAAATGAGCCTTTTTGGACCATTGATTGGAGGAATTCTGCAAGTGGATTGGAATCTTTTAAATAATTATGTTTATTATTTATAACCAAGCGACTTAAATTGGGCAATTTTGATAAATATCCCAATTGGCTCATGTCAGACTCTTTATGTATCTTTATTTCAAGTTTCGCATTATTTCTGTCAAACTTAATTGATATTTTGTCACTTAAAGGTATGTTTGCTAAAGATTCCTCAATTGGATTAGCTTCTTTTGATGTTTCACAAAAATCGTACGAAGTTGTAATAAATAATTCGCTATTATTAGATTGGTCTATTTTCAAAAATTGCAAAGCGTCCGAAATTGGAAACTTTATGGTCCGGGTTTTATCGCTTAAACCATCTTCGATGGTCAATGTCAAAGGTGGTAGACTTCTAGGTCTGTGCAACTTTCTTAAATCATTGAAAAATATTAATGGTGATTCGCTTTCTTGGACTCCAGAAATAACAAATTTTTGTAAATTGGGCAGCAATACCACCGATGCATATTGGGCAGCACCACCACCCGGGTTTAGCTGAATTCTCAGGTAATTAAGATTTTCGCAATGGAGTTTAATATCGGAAAGACTTCCATGGATTTCAGTGCCTTTAAAGTCCAAGTAAAACAAATTTGGCATCAAGGTGCAGATGTTTGCTAACGCTTCTGCCGTAACATTAGCATTTAACTTTACCTTCTCAATGACCCTCGAGTTTGGGTTGCCTTAAAAAGAAATAAGTTTAAAATGTATTAATAAAAGCCAATGGGTCTTACCATCATCCTGCTCTGCTGTAGCTTTAAAAAGACGAGGACGGAAGCTAACTTCGGCAAGCCGAAGTTTTAATACCCTTGCAGACTTTGCCGAAATTTGCTAAAACTAAAAAAGTAGCGAAAGGAATAAGGTATACATAAATAAACTAGATTTGCATCGTTTGATGTCAAATGCTTTTATACTGCAAAAATGTCATAAAAAATTGAAAAAAAATGGATACTTTCGCAGCCTTTAACAATATTTCCTACTGAAGCTATAAGATATGGACGTCCGATCGGCAAGCGCTTTTACCCTAATCAAGATAAGCGTAAATAAATAAGACTTGGAAAAATGTATGTCAGTAGCTTACACACTACTCGAAAAATTCAGAAAATCATCAAATTTGGACCGAATAGGGTGAACTATTGTTCCTATGGGAGCTATAGGATATCGATATACCGATATAGGATATCGATATACCGATCGCCAAGCGCTTTTACCCTGATCAAGGTATGCATAAAAAAATAAGATTTGGAGAGATTTATGTTACTTGCTTTTACACTGCGCGAAATATCTTCCATTCTTGAAAGTTATATCCGATTGTTCCTATGGGAGCTATAGGATATAGACATCCGATCGGGGCGGTTTTCAAACTTGATCTGCGTACACATGTTTTAGGACAACTGTGAAAGTTTCAGATCGCTAGCTTTTAAACTGAGCTCGCAAACGGTATTGAAACAGACGGACAGACGGACATGGCTATATCGATTCCCCTATTGATCCTGATCAAGAATATATATACTTTATAGAATCGGAAACGTCTCCTTCACTGCATTACAAACTTCTGACCAAAATTATAATACCCTCTGATTAGCTATACGTAATCAATTTCATTTTTAAATAGCGGTTGTAGTTTGTACTTGTCTGATTGGCAGCAACTTTTACCCTGAGCAGGGTATACATAAATAAATTAAATAAATTGCATAGTTTCATGTCAATAGCTTTTATACTGCAAAATTGTTATATACAAACAGGAAAAAAAGGGATATTTTCACAGCCTTTAACAATTTTTCCTACGGAAGCTATAAGATATAGACGTCCGATCGGCAAGCGCTTTTTTCAAGGTATGCGTAAATAAATAAAACTTAGAAAAATGAATGTCAATAGCTTATACACTGCGCGAAATATTCTAAAAAACATGAAATTTTGACCGATTTCACCGTATTGTTCCTATGGGAGCTATAGGATATAGACGTCCGATTAGCACGCGCATTTACCTTGATGAAGGAATTCATAAAAAAATACGATTTGAAAAAATGTATAGCAATAGCTTTTACACAGCGCGAAATATTCTGAAAAACATCAAATTTGGACCGATTTTACCCTATTGTTCCTATGGGAGCTATAGGATAAAGACGTCCGATCGCCACGCGCTTTTACCCTGATCAATGTATGCATAAAAAAATACGATTTGGAAAGATTCATGTCAATAGCTTTTACACTGCGCGAAATATCATTAATTCTTGCAAGATATATCCAATTGTTCCTATGGGAGCTATAGGATATAGACGTCCGATCGGGGCGATTTTCAAATTAGATCTGCGTACACATGTGTGAAAGTTTCAGATCGCTAGCTTTTAAACTGAGCTCTCAAACGGTATTGAAACAGACGGACAGACGGACATGGCTATATCGATTCCCCTATTGATCCTGATCAAGAATATATATACTTTATAGAATCGGAAACGTCTCCTTCACTGCATTACTAACTTCTGACCAAAATTATAATACCCTGTGCAAGGGTATAATAATGTAATTTTAAGACATTTAATTATTTAATTTTTAAAGATTTATTGTTATTTCAAAACTATATTAAGTTAATAACTTACTTCTTTTGTCAATGAAAACGCAGGCATGATTCTCTTCGAATTTTAGGGTAACAAAGAAAGGATTTTTTTCTCTGATAGATTGTAGGAAAGATACCCAGAAATCATAATTTCTGTTTGATAACTCATTGACTTGTAAATCAATCAGTAGCTTTGTTATCCTGCACGTCAGAACCAAATCAAGATCCTCGTACAAACTTTTGAAACAAGTCTCAAGCAGTTCCAAGAAAAGTTCATGAGCCAACACAAAGTTTATTAAATCATTATACTTTGACTTTTTGTCACATTGGTCTTTCAACTCGCAATCAGATTTTATGTAATTCATTATCTCCAAGAGGCAGTCGCAGTTCAGAATAAATTCGCCATTCTCGTCCATTTCTAGGGCTGATTGAATCGCCAATAATTCGGATGAGCTTTTTGAGTTCAGAAGATGTTTATTTTTAGTTAATTAAGCAGATAAATATAGAGTTATTTAATCTTTAATCGTGGATTGTATTTGATGTGACTTTATTGCTGTGAACCACTATATTTATACCACTATTTTTAAACAATCACAAATTATCAATTATATTATTTCTGAGCCGCTGTTAAAAGTTGACTGTTTCGGGCTACGATCTTGAGCTAAATGAGTTCGACGCTAGCATTTCTCAGATAAGAGTATGAAAATACACATTCACTTACATTTATCATATACTAGCACGGTTTGCATTATTTCTGTCTCCACACAGGAAGCTCTTAAATGAGCACATTGGCCAGCTGTTCCAAAGACATCCGTTAGATGGCGCTACCATGGGCCATGAAAGGCGGAAATGTAGGCGCTAGCCAGGCTTAAGCGTTTAATAGGTTTTTGGGCGTTAGAGTGGGCGTGGCAAACTTTTATTAGGCAAATCGGTAGGTATTGACGAAACAAATACATATCAATTAAAATGTTCAAAACTGTGGCCACAGCTTGTGGCTTGTGGGCGTCAGAGGGGGCGTGGCACCATTTTGAAACAAACTTGCGCTGCGTAGGAACTCCTAAAATCTACATGCAAAATGCCAATCTTCTAGCTTTTATAGTTTCCGAGATCTCAGCGTTCATACGGACAGACAGACAGACAGACGGACAGACGAACAGACGGAGAGACGGACAGACGGACAGACGAACATGGCTAGATCGACTCGGCTAGTGATCCTGAACAAGAATATATATACTTTATAGGGTCGGAAACGCTTCCTTCTACCTGTTACATACTTTTGCACGAATACAATAAACTCTTTTACTCTACGAGTAACGGGTAAAACAATATTTTTTAAATAGTGCAATTTATGCCATGGTTATATCGAATAAGATTAAAAACTACAAAAACGCATTTATATATGAACAAAATGCAATTATGCTGATTGGTATATCACAACTGCACACAATTAAAAAATAACCAAATACTCATTTAAATGTAAATCATTTATGACTTTACTAATTAAGAATAGTAAAAAACGAAACTAACTGCCATAACTCACCAAATTTTTAAGTTAACATCAGAGATATCAACAAATTTGCACATTTAATAGAAAAAATTCAAATTCCAAGAAAGGCGAACTAAAATAATAATATTATTACTCACATACGGTTATACACCAAAATACACGGTTATGCAAAGAAATGTTCCTATTAGGCAAAGCCTACTCTTTGCTTAATTAATTGGAAAATTATCACATAAAATCACAACTCTCGGCAAACTGAAAGTTTCCCCATTAACTTCTTCTTTTGCGCACTTGCTACACTCTTTCCTCTCTCTCTGTCTACTGCGATCTCCTGCTCTTATGTTTCCTAGCAGCGCGTGGCAAAACACTGTAAAAATAAACACCGCAAAAAACAATTTGAATGGTATATTTTTACTACACTATCAAAAACCGGGCCGAATAGATTTTCGACAAAAAAACGTATTTTGCGTATTCTGGCAGCAATAACAGTAAAGAGCACTTAAATTCGATAATAGATCGACTTTTTGCTTAGTTTATTTGTTTCGAAGATAGCTAGAGCTTTGGTGAAACCATCAAATGAATCGTTAAAGCTTAAGGAAAAACTTTACCGAAGGAATTTTTGATACTCAGTTTAGAAGTGCCATTTTTCGACGTTTGAAGATATTTTTGGCTAAATTGTAATTTTAGAACGGGTGTTAAAAATAGTAAAAAGCCTTAAATCTAAGCGTTCAAATTTTTTAAACATTTATAATGTCTTAAACTATTTTTGGGCGAAAACACGGATTCAATTCGTTAAACGGTTTGCGTCCAGAATTTTTGAAAGGAAAATGGACCTTTTTTCCAATTGGAAGCGATTGGGGCCACTTGGGGAGTTTAAAGTTATAAGAATGTAATAAAAATGCATATTAATATTATTAACCAATGGTTTTGGCTCTGCGTTGGTTCCCAATTCGGTCAAAAAACGATTATTTTCAGTTGCTGCTAAAAATCCATGAACCTTTTCGACACCAATTTTGATTCAAAGTCTAATTTTTTAAGAGCATCTTCAAGTGACCAGTACGTGCGAAAAAAGAAGAGTATGAAAATCGGCAAATGTCAGAAGGTCTTTCAAGGTGTCTGCGTCTGGTCTCGAAAAACCGGTAGATCGACGCATAAGCACACAGCTCGAAACTCAATCTCATCTCCGTTTAATGTGAAGAGGTGGCTTCTGCGAAATCTTCTTGACCATTTTGGTGGACCTGTCATTGTGAATCTGGCTGGAGTCTTATTCTCCAGTCCCATCTTATTTTTTGCGACAATTCAACTTCAGCATTTGCCATTTTTGCATCCGACAATTGGCAGGAAGACCGGCACTCGAAAATCCTCCTCATAAGCGAAGGCTATCCACTTTGTATGCCATATTTGCAACTGGTTTTTATTTTTTCGCCGCTGCCCACTGCAGTTTGGTATTTCTTCTGTCTTATAAATATGTTGCGTCTTTTTCGCATGCGTTTTGAAATTAATGCAAAACATTTCGATGCGTCTCGTTTTCCCAGTGCTCCAGCAGAGAGACGTCTTTCGAACAGGTCTCCAAGTTGAAGTTGATTTGTGTGCTTAGTATAATTGCTGCGATTATCGAGTTGCTGAAGAGGCGGCTCCTCCTCCTCCTCCCCCTTCTCCCCCTTCTCCCATTCTCACCACTTTTTGAACATCTCGTCTTGGGTAAGGTTAAGTCGGTTTGCGTTAAGCGATTGTCAAGTGTATTCAAATCCAAAAGATGCAATCTCCGGCCAGTTTTGACTTGGCTCTGTCTCGAATTGTCGATCTGCCCGCTGATGAATGGCAACTGGCAGAGGCGTAGTCTTCAAAAAGGGGGACAAAAACACTATTCAAACATTGCAGTGCTCATTTTGAGTTAGATCATGATTGCCAAATGACAGATAAAGTGGTAGCCATTTATAGCTCATCTTAGATCCCCTTGGATTGACTTCAATTTTTAACTTTATAAGCATTATAAAAGTATATAAACAGGGCCACCAGTCAATTCAAGTGGCAGTAATGGTTGATTGATCTTTGAACCATTTGAAATTGAACTATCTCAATAAAACTAAACGATTAGCTTTTAAAATGTTTGAAATATTGTGAGTAGGTAGGATTAAAGCGTTCATTATCAGGGTCATTTTGGGAGGCTAAGTGGATTGAACAGGTGACTGCTCTTTGCTTATTTCCAAACTTCATTTTTATACACTTTCAGACGGCATTATAATTTCAGTCAAAAGTTTGCAACGTAGTAAAGGGCATATTTCCGACGCTAAAGTTTCTTTCTGTTCTACAATTTTATCGGACTATCGAAATATAGAATACACCATTTTTGTAAAAGCTGCAAGAGTATAAAAACTTCGGCTTGTCGTAGCTTGCTTCCTTTCTCGTTTTTTTTTTTGTTTATATTAGGTCAATGCTTTAGGAAAGATGTTTAATAGGTTTATTTTTGGATACAACAAATTTGATTTTTTTAATGACTTTAGTGTGGAAAATACCTAAATTTTGTTGATTTTGTTAATGAGTCTATTTATGGGGACTTAAAGATTACAAATTTGTTAATTTACAAAATATGAATTAATGCGGGAAGAAAAAAATAGATTAATGAGTGGAGAAACCTAAAATATCTTGGATTAATTTTGAATATTTAAAACACTAATTGAAAACTTTAAGAGTTGAAGCAATCAAAGGGAGTGAAGTTATTAAAATTATGTGAAAATACTGTTTCATGTTGAAATGAAATTGTTTTTACCAGATTTTATACAAATATTTAATTCTTTTATTGACTCATAGCAATATTTTGTTACAAAATATCTGCCTAATTCAAGGTTTATGCCAACAAATTCGATCTGGTTTCCCTGCCAGCCCATTTATCTCTTTGCATTTTAATATTCAATCTAACCAAAAACCATTTTCCATGCTAATTAAGTAATCCGACCTGCCCCAAGCATGAAATTTCCATAAGATCGATGGGCAAGGCAAGTCTCCTATTTCGGTCACACCTTGTGGTCCATTTTTTTGGACCACTTTTTCGCAATCCAATTTGTTTACCCTTTCGTTCAGCTTTGTGTTTATATCAAATTAATTTCCGATCAAATTAAAACGAAATTTGTTTTTACAGGGAGTCGTTATAAAGGTCTGAGACAACGAAGAAAGAAAGGAGAAAGAAAGGTCGGCTACAAAGTAATACCCAAAATGCTCCAATCGTATTAGCATAATTAAGTCGCCTGCCCAATGGCTGACCATTGAGAGATATATCGAGAAATACACGCACTTTTGTGCGGCGATCATCAACGCGATCAAATGCAAATGAGGCGACATCAGTCAAGCGGCCGAAAGCGAAATGTGCATCATCAACACGAAAACTTTGGGCTAACAATTGCATAATAGAGCTAACCAAACACGACCTCATTTACCAAATCGCAAAACCCTGATCGGCCGACGAATACACGAAGAAGATAGACCAAAAGATTTGCATTAAGTATACGCAACGTGGACCTCAATAATGGATCTAATGGAGCTGCTGCATCAGCTTTTTCTGCACATATTCGACATCTTTAAGATCTACGTTAAGTTCGCCCTAATAACACTGGTTATCTACTTTTTGGCCGAGTGGTATATCCTTCGATATGGGGCAGAATTGGAGGCAGAATTGGACGCCCACCTGGTAGAATGTGCCGAATTGAGAGAGGAATCCCCGGAGCGACCCGAATCGAATAGCACTCTGAGCAAGGTGTTTCGATTCGTTGTGAACTTTTTCATCCTATAATCGACTCGATTGAACCCACTTGTCAAGGTCAATCGCACAGCTGAATCGGTTTTGCTTTTTCGCGGAATTGCAATTCGATTCAGCCAGCCACAGCTCAAGGCTCCCGTCAAGAGAATGTAAAATCGAACCAGTTGCATTTAACAACAGAAAAATACAATACAACAGAAAAATACAAAAAAAAGAAATAAAAACAGTCAAAGCAAAAGCTGCAAAATAAACACAATCTTTATATGTAATGAACAATAACAATAAGGAGCTGTAAAAAAAACAAGTTGAACTGCTTTTTTTTTTTGAGGTATCATAAAGTATCAATATCGAAAATTACATTTGGTTCTGTTGGGCAAGCAAATAAGAATGACTCAAAATCATTTGGGGGTGTGGTTTTCATGTATTTGGGCTAATTGCTGGGCAGTTTGGCAAACAAAACCGCAAGAAATTGCCATAAATATACTTTGAAATTGCACTTAAGGAAGTCCAATATAAACTAAAATGCTAATGGGCTTTTTATAGACTTATTCAGAGTGGTTAATAAGGAAAGACATTCATCACAGATGAGTTGCTTTTTGAATCTGAATCAGAAAGGATAAAGGAGATTTAACCAAGTTATTCCTTTTTCTTTTTAAATGTTTACTTGTTGTTTGTTAATTTATTTCAGTGGTTTTTTATTCAGAAATTCAACGTCTGCCTTTTATAGCTGTCGTTATTACCATTTGTAAGCAAAACGTTAAGCACTTTTTCTGGTAAAGTGTATAATTTAAAATTCGTAAAGTTCAATAACATATTGCTGTGGCTTTGTAAAGCTCATATTAGTTTTACTTCCTCAGGAATTTAATAGTTATCACGGACCACCCCTTTTGAACAAGTACAATTTTCACTAAATGGAATTTTTTATCAGACCTATCTAAAATACCTGGCTAAGTCAACTGTGGATCTATTGATCGGTGGATGTTTGTTGGTGGTTTGTCGACCAGTTAAGTAGTAGTTACAACACGTTGTGCCGACTGTTGATATTGTTGTTGTTATTGTTACAGTTGTTGTTGGTGAGTGCTACCTGCAACAAATGTGGAATACCGGTTCAACAAACCGTTCGACCCACACAACCAAATACATATAAAGAGCCGGGCGACACGGTGCTCCCATTCTCACACAGATATAGGGACACAGATACAAGGCATTTCGAACGTAACTAGATGTGAGATGTGAGGCACAAGGCACACGCCGTTGGCGATAAAGCACTCGACAATTCCGCATGCTACAGATACAGATACTCTAAGCCTGGCTCTATTCCAATTTGAATACCCAGTCAGCCCAAGTTGAGTTCAGTTCGCTTGAGTTGGGTTTAGTGTTCAAATTCAACTTTCACATGCGGAACGAGCGCAGATGCAGTGCAGCATTATTACTATTAATGCTGCTGCTACTGCCACTGCACAGAAAATAATAATGAAAAGTTTTATGAAGGTTTATGACAAATAAATTAATTGGTTTTACCCATAGCTAAATATAAACTGGCCTTATTTATACTATTTTGAGTACTCTATAATAATTCATTGGTCGCTAAATCTTATTAATAAGTTTGCTATTTATAACGAAAGTGTGTAAAAAAAACTGTATTCAAAACAAGAGACTGTAAGTTATCTTTTGAAAAACGTAAATAGTATAATAATAATCTATTACATTATTAAGGTAATTAAATGTTTATTTAAATATTAAATATAAGACTATGCTTTTTTAAAAATATGTTGGGAATAGTTTTATTTTATATTTTAAATGTGTACAGAAGATACTCCAAGACTACTATAAATATTATAAAATGTAAGAATTTTAAAATTCAATAAAATATTGTTAACAGCTAAAAATGTAAATTGTTTTTCTCTATGTACTCTAAGCCAAAGCTGCAGTACTTAGTGACGTAATAGAGGGGCAGAGAAGGGGAGTAAGGCAAGAGATATACCATAAGCCGCAGTGAACGGCGCTTGATTGATTCCATTATGAAGAGAAGAGAGCCGCGAAATGTTTTGCATTATTTTGCATTCGAAACAAATTTCAATCTGTGGTTTTCGGTCAATGAAAACCCAGCTCGAAGTGCAGTCTTGACCAACTACCGCGGCCAGCATTTAATTGCCAAACGAAGCGAGGCACTCGAACAAGCTAACCACGCGGCGTATGCGCAATAATTCATGAGGCTTTTAAATAATTTTTGTTTGTTTACTATTGTGAGTCTGAGGGCCTGTGTTTGTGACTAATGCGTTGGCAGATGTCTTGAGTCCGTTTTGGGCCAACGCGGTTCATTAATTGAACTGTAACCGTAATTTGGCTGTGTTATTGTTACCATTATGTCATTGCGGTCACCAGGTAGTTGGGGAAAAGGAAAGAAAGAAAAGCATTTAAGGCACTAAAAATAAGCCATGCACACAGGCATATTAGTTGGCAAATCGATAATGGATTACGATCAATTTATTGAGTAATCTATTGTAGGGTAAAGAGAGGCAAATTAATCTTTGGCATATAAAAGTAATCATTTGAAATCGGAAGTGTAGCATTATAAAAGGAAATGGATTTGTTGTTACAATAAATGATAGTTATTTAATTACATGGCTTACTGTTACTTTTATTTATAGCCAATAAGGCTAACTTAAGATAAAAAACCTGATAGTAAGTTCAAAGTTGTAAAAAAAAATCATACAGTTTTGTTTATGGATATTATTAAATAGATAGCACAGCTATCATTAAAGTTTTTACAGCTTGCCTTAAAAATTAAATATTTATGAATACATTTTTATAAGACAAGGCAATCACAATTAATTGAAAACAAATGACCCTTGGCCTTTCGGATATAGAACATCCATAAGTAATGAATTTATTCTTATAGATAAAAATTAAATTGAAATTTACAGAAGTTAACGGAGTTGAAAAATAGTAAAATTCAATTTTAATCAGCTTATAAAATTTAACTATCATCTGTACCTGAAGTGAAGACCTCAATTCCAATGATTCGAATGTTCTATGTTTTTTGAAGCTTAAAATATTTTAAGAATTATTATTATTATTACGCAAAAAGGCTTTGAAGTTTAACATCCAAAAGTGTATAAGCTTAACTTTTAAAACGTCATTTGTGATTTAAATATAGCCCACCTTCTCCGTCAACTGCTCTGATAAACCCATATTAATTTCTGTTACATTTTTTCAATATTTTGCAAGAAATCGAGTAAAAAAAGGTCTGAAAAAATCTTAATCAATAAACCTGTTAAGCACGATTATCAGGCAGCCGCCAAGTGAACAGCACGCTCAAAAGGCAAAAGCAAAGACAGGGCAAAGACAGAGCAAAGTCAGCAAAGGCAGGGAAAAAAACAATTTCAAAGACAATCCGATTGCAGAATGTTGACAGAGGAAAATGGACAAAGTCAGAGACGAGAAAAGCTCGGCTTAGAGAGCCAAGCTCGAGCTCTCCGGATCTTTGTTTTTAAATACTCTCCTCCGTTCGGTGACAACGTGCTGCGCATGCGCAAAGTCGGCATCGAAGCGGCAATAAACCCGTTTTCTGAGGCGCAGACGGACCAAAATTAGCGAGCGATGAGCTTTCGACGGAAAAGCAAACGCAAAGCCAGCCGAATTCCCATTTTTATGCCAACTCCGCGTTGGCCAATACGATCTGCAATTTCAGTCTGCAAGCGGTCAGCCAGGTGAACGGCAGCCAGCACAGCTGGTCTCTTAAGTAAGTGGGCGTGACCGATCGGGTGCATATATATATAAACACTATATATACACGGGTGCCTCTGTGCGTGAGAGAGCTGGAAAAATTATATAAAAAAGTGATCAAAATAAATGGAAAATTCCCATATAAATTTAGCTTAGAAAATAGCTACAAAGTGTTAAAAATAGTGTGAATTCCGTCAGAGATCCTTTGAATGAATCAAACTCAACTAATCGCTTAAAGTTGAAATTAAAAGATAACCGCAAAGGCAGTTACAAAATCAGTCAAACAACAATACAAATTTCCACAAGTGCACTAACACAAACACAGGCCCACAAAGAAAACTGCAGCATTAATACAAGTGCAAAAAGGAAAAACATCAATGATTTTTGCCTTTGTGTGATTTTGCGTGCGTTTGCGTTTGTGTGAGTGCCAACTTTTATGAGGCTAAATATTTATTGTTCATTTAAGAAAAGCAATAACTTCAAACAAAATCAGCTGGAAACATTTGGACATTAGGTGATTAAACACATGCGAAAAATATAAAAACTTTTTCTGGAATATACACAACAAATTTCGATCGTCTGAAAAAAAAGGTAAGTTTGAAAATTTTCATATGCTTGTTAGAGGGCTCTGCAGAGCTTATCTACAAGTCAAACACCTGAAGTAGACTCAACACCTAATTAAACACCCTTCCTCCTCCACAAAAAGAAAGATCGGATATTTTTAAAACTCTTGTTAAGATTTTTTAAATTTGCAATAATACAATATTTATAATAAGAAGAAGGTGAAATCAGATTTAGGTGACCTAAGATATGTTTTGCAATATTTAAGAAAACTTTTATTATATAATATTTAAGAAAACTTTTATTATAGATTGGTCACTAGATTGTTATTTTCTTAATTTTTAATTTTTTAATAAAAATCGAACTTATAAACATTGCAAATATAATGTCCATTTTTATTTATTGTAGGATAAAAGGTATAGATAAAACCTACATTTTAAAAGTACCGCTTTAAGATATTGAAAAAACAAAGGGATTAGATGATAAAAAAAATTGTATGAAAAATACCGATTGGATAATATCAGCTTCACAGTGATCTTATTTTTTTCCGTGCGATAAAGTCCACTAACTCTCATGGCCAAAAAGGCGTTTTGCAAACACAAAAGTACAAAAATGATCTCAGGCGTTGCTAATTATTTCTCTGCGCCTTGTACATTGTTAGCCATTTCACGCCCCCGCCGCCCCTTTAGGCCACACCAAATACATATAGACCTTCCCCCGATTTCTGCAGTTACAGTTTTTATTGGTGTTTGTGCGGAGAGATGTTCAAATGGTTTGCGCATCTTCACCGAACAACACCAACACCAGAGCAACAACGAATATGGCCAACATAACTGAGCCATTTTACTTTCATCATCAACAGCCACAGCAGCCACAAGCAACAAATGAAATTTTGAAATTTTACTTTCATCCATTTATTTGGCGCTTTTCACTCTCCATTTCTTCGCCATCTTCTGCCACTTACAGTTTTCCACAATTAAGAAACTTAACAATAATATTTGCTTAATTGTCCCAGAGCAAAGTAGAAGTTAAATAATAGTTTTTGTGTCTGGGAACTGAACTCTTTGCGAGTTCAGGTCAGAGTCATCGAGTTGCCCAACCGGAATGGGCGATTAAACCTATTTGCTGAAGAGCTTTAGTAAATGCAAAAAAACGCAGCTAAAACATAAAGCAAGCACAAATTGATTTTGATTTGTATGTGGCCAAAAAGGAAACTCGGTTTTCACTTGCTGCCAACAACTCAGTGGCATGAAGATGCTGTGCAATGCAAAAAGCTGAAGAAAAACCGAGAAAACCGCCTAATGGTGTCCACATTCATCACAGATTTAGGTTAAAGATATGAGTAATTATAGCAACTGTGTAAATATTGACAAAAATCCTCTGAAATTTACAGTCATTCAGCAAGTAAATAATTTCGGAACTGAGAAGGAAAAAAATCAAGTATTTCCTCGTATATTTAATGTTTATCAAGGTTTCTTAGAAATATGCAAACTATATCAATAATAAAATGTTTTCATTAGTGCTTTTAGTAAATAAGTTCTGAGAATTATTCGTTGTCAAATGAATACAAATAGATCAACAAAATGCCGAACCTTTCTCAGAAAAGTATTTAATAAACATCAATAATTTCAAAGCATCTGGTAGACATTCTAAACTCAGATTAACTTGCCTGTTTAAAATATCAATAAACAAAAAGCATTTCTTGAAAAATAACTTAGTATTTATCAAGGCCTTGTATTAATCCACCAAAGATTTTAACAAAAGCTAATTGTTTCCGTTAGTCATCGTTTAATTCTTATAACACAAGTTATGCTCCGTTGATTCTAATTAACTCTTTAAGAACGAGCTTCCCCTTCCTGTGAACTAGTAACCTGCGTCAGCAAATTAATAATTCATAAAAATTAAACGACTATTAAAGGCATAGCAACTATAAAGCTAATTGAGCCGTATAAAACTTAACACATTTCCGAAATTTTCAAAAAATGATTTGGTGCCATCGGGTACCATGAAAACCAACCGACTTTTAAAGTCTGCACTGCATCAATAAACCACAAAAAAAGGCGACCTTGAAAGTGCCCAAAGCCGAGCTCTCATAACATCTTATAAAGATGCTAATTTCTTATGACAACAAGCAACTTGTGTTGGCCAGCTGGCAACTGGCTAAGAGAGATGATGGCAGACTGAAAAAAACAGCCACAAGAAACTTGTCACCGACTTCTGTTTCTATCGTGCAACCGGATTGGGACAACTTGGGTTATAAATTTCGATCCAAAAAACCCGTTGTTGACGTCGAAGAAATTTATACGCAAAATATGCACGAATAAAGTTGTAAACGAAAACGAGAGTTTGTCCCCAGACGATCTTGCTTTTGGCCATGATGCATCTAACAACAAGACAATAAAATTGAAAAAAAAACTTATAAAACTTTAACTTAATTGTTCATTGTGTCTGTGTGGGCCAAAACCTTCGGGGCTTTTGATTCTAGGCGCCTTTTGTTGTTTAAAAAAAAACCCATTTAAAGTCAGAGAATCTCTGAACAGATGGAAAAATTAGCAAAGTTTCAAGGAAAATACACCGACGATTTTTGCCATTATAATGAGTATTTGATGCAAATGTTCTATTAAAAATCAAATAAATTTTAAAGCCTCTAGACAAATTAAAAATGAATTTCCTAAACCAGATCCAGATTTTTTTATTGTTTCCGTTTTATCTCATTATTCTGTTGCAGTCGAACGTGTCTAAAGATCCATCAATTAATTCCAAAACAAAGGCAGCAACAAAAATAACAACTCACCGGTATTTGTCATCGTGCTTAGCCTTGAATTTGAACTTGGCCAACACAATAAGACCTGCTAGGCATCGACTTTTCGAGACATCATTTATTGTCTCGACTCTCCGATTTCTCCGTGGGCTGTAAAAGATTAGGCAGCAGAAATTATTAAGTTAATATTTCATTAAGGAACAATGTGGTGCACTAAATTCGAAATATTGTACCAAAAAGCTGAGCCATAAATTAAATTTGTTTAGCACAGGGCAATTCATCATCGATATTCGAAGACACCTGATGGCTAAGCTGACCTTAACTTTCAGCCAAGACATGGAAATGGGAATGAATGGGAAAAGCTGGGCAGAAGTTGATGAATGGAAGGTCTCGTTAATAATCGTAGTGGGTGGTTTAACATGAGAATATTTACCTTATTTTGGAAAAAATATAGGTTCTAAAGTGTGAACACCTACACACTAATGGGCTAATAAACATTTCCCAATATACTTAGAAGCTAGTAAGCAAGGATGAAAAACACAACAATTTTTTAAAAACCACTTATCCAATGAAAATGGATTTTAAAATGGAAAACAAATTATATGTAGATGTATACCAAAAATGAAAATAAAAAATCGTTTGGCATATGTTTAACAATAAAAATATAACCGCTTATAAATGTCTACCTTAAGCGCAGAAAGAAACAATGAACATACCGCCCACAAAGAACATTTCAAAATCACAATCCAAAAATGTTTGCAATCGTTTTATGCTCTTTTCAAGAACCCTTTGACATTTCGCCCGAATGCCGAACCCGGCATTCATTTCCATCAAAGTTGTTATCTCTGTCACAACAGAAACCATTATCATATTTAGTCGGATATTTATCTCCGCACTCGGCCCACACAGTCGGGCACAAAATGTCAAAAAGTGCAAACCAGCTGAGGCACACAAACAGACTGGCAAACACTCAATAAGACAGGCCGAAAGACTTCAAATCCAATCAAATCCAAATCTCCACTTTAAATGCACGACACACTTTTTGGTTAAACAACAGCACCAAAACAGGGTGTGATCGGCAAAATCTTTGAACTCATGGCACTAAAATTGAACAGAAATTGTGCCATGCATAAACAGAAAGGCAGGAAGGCGGAGGAGGAGCTTCCTCGCCAATCCGCATTGCCCATCAAGTATACGCCCCGTGTGTAAGCCCAAGGAGACCGCCAGCAAAACAATGCACAATAAAAATACTTTTTTGGGAGAAACAAATTGCATTCAACTTTGCCAAATTACAATGCTCCAATGATCTTTTCCGAGCCAAGCGTTTTGCATTCAATTTCTCAGCGATAAAACGCATTGGAAATGAAAGTTTTTTTCTCGCTCACTTCGCAATTTGTTATAGTTATGCATTGTGTTGATTATGTGGCCAAAGTATTTATTTATTTATTTATCAGTGCGCTTGCCACCACCTTTTCAATTTCGCCTAGCCAATCGCTCTCGTTACGTAAGTCCAACCCAGCGAAGTGACATTGAAGGCTGGCAAAGCTAATTATGCAATTACCCGACACCCGAGACGGAAATCGGAAAGTGAAGCTGATTAAAGAGTACACAATAAGTGTGTACACGAAATTTGCAGTGATTGCATTAGTTAATTGATCGATTTACAGGCAAAAAGAGTAACGTTTAGCTGGTGAATCAGGAGTTTTGTTGTTTATTTTCATTTAAAAATTAAGCGGCTCTAAATCAATATTATATTTAACGCTTTTGCTTAAGTGGGATTTATTAACAAACAAACTACAATATCATTCTGTCTTAGCTGTTTATTATTTCAGTAAATTGTTTTCGGACTTGATTGTTAAAAATAATAATCTAGATTTAAGTATAGATAGGTTTTGGTAGATGTACAATATATAAAAAAAATTTGTTGTTATTTTTTTGCATTTCTGAATGATTGGTTGATTAATGCAGTTTTAAATTATTTAATTATTCCCCATGTGAATTTATGTATGATTTATGTGTGACGATATTTAAGTAATACATTCTAATTCTTATTGACAGGAACAAAAATTCATTAATTTGTATTTAGTTTTAATTTTACCATGTAAAGTATCCAACAGTTTCATGTGTAATGATTTCTTTAGTTTTCCTTTCCAAGATTTCACTTCTATGCATTAAACAAATTTTAAGAAAACAAAACCGAAAAGGTGTCCAAATACAAAAGTTCAGCCAAGAACACTTTCTAAAACCAATTTTGGATTGAATGCATTTTTACATGAGGTAGCTCCCTCCTAATGTACCCACATCTCTATATAGATTCGACTCTCGCCGACTTGAATGACAAGCACGGAAAGTAGCGTTAATCATGGAACGTGATTGAAATATTAAGATATAACTAAGTCTAGAACTCTCGAGCTCACAACTCAATTCAAAAATATCAAAGAGGAACAATGCCGAAAAGGTTTCTTTTGTTTTTTTCACTTTGGAAGCGTTCAACGACTTCGGTAGAACATAAATCTTTCGGAAGGTGTGGGGTGTGTCCAAAGCTCAGAAATTAACATAATATTTTGAACATTTTTGATTTTAGGCTAGCAAATAACCAGAGACCTGAAGTCTTCAAGATGAAAAAAGCCAAAGGCTGGCTGTTAATGACAGCAACAGGTGAGTTGGATCGGATTGGAGGACACACAACTAAACCCAAAAAACCACTAAATCTTGTTGTTCGAACTGGACCATGACATAATACCAATCCTTGCCATGTTATGTAATTTTTGGCAGCTGTGAAATTTTAATTAATTTAAATTTCGTTTCCCTTTCGATTAAGTGCTGCTGCTGAGCCTGTTGGCCTCCACAGAAGCCGCCCTGCCCTTCAAGAAGGTGTCCATTGCCAAGACTCCCGCCTCCACGAGCAGCACCACCAGCACCACGACGGAATCGACGGCCGCCGAGGAGGAGGAAGTGGAGGAGGAGCAGCCGGTGCCCAGCGGAGATGGTGGCGACAGTAGCAAGGTGAGCTGAAGGATTCTGGTAAAGATTTTCTCGTGGAACTAATTTTTTAACCTTTTTTTTAGTCGGACAACGGCACTCTGTCGAAAAACTCAAAGCTCACAGGCATCCCACAGATCGATTACGTCTGGGATCCCAATCTGCCCAGGGAACTGAGAGGGTAAGCTCTACTCAAGATTATAGGCATAAGTAATACAAAATATTTAAATCATTTAAACGTCTCAACGATTTTCATTTTTAATATACAAAATATATTTTATATCATTTAAAAAAGTATTTTTCAATTTTCTACAAAAAGGGTTTGACACGAAAACATTAGACCTATATTATTTTTTTTAAATTTAATTAGCTTATAACACAAGAATAAAATACATATATTTTCTTATTTAAAGCAATACCTATTTTTATAGACAATAGATAAATTGCCTGAAACTAGTTGTAACAGCGAAAGTCAGGACTATTTATTTTAACTTAGTACTATTAAACATTATTATTATTTTATAATTAATTTAACAGTTTTCAGATTAACAGCGAAATTATACTTTTTTTTAAATACCCACTATTTTAAAGAATAGCTATTGAATTTAAAATTAAATGAAAGGGGCTTATCATTAAAAATCCATAAACATAAATAGTCGATTTAACTATATTATCCTTCCTCCACAGTTACAACCTGTCGACCTATCCCTTCCTGTCCACCGTGCCGCCCATGGATGAGATCCACTTCAAGTGTGAGGGACTGCACGATGGCTTCTATGCCTCCATCGAGTACAAATGTCAGGTGAGTGAGTGAGTGAGCCGGCGTGACCTTGTCTGGCCCATAGCGACGTAACATAATTGGTCATCAAACCCAAACAAACCAGGCCCAACCCATATGAACCCTCTGTGCATGTCCAGCAATTTCTCTTTTTCAACTGGCGACGTGACGCCAAAAACTAAAACTTGTTTGCGCCTCGATCTTGACCTCAAAAGCGGGCAAAAAGAAGCGCTAAACGATGGCTAACAGAGCGGATTAGTTATGGCCGAATGTGATTAACAAGAGTTGGACTCGTTGCAGATCTACCACCACTGCGTCTATGGCATAAGACACGACTTTCTGTGCGCCAACTTCACGGCCTTCGACCAGCGCACCTTCATCTGCCACTTTGCATCCGATGTGGACTGCGAGGGATCCCAGAAATACTGGAACAGGTGAGACTCAGCCAAGGGGAGTCCCCATAAAAGAGACCAAGTCTCTATCAGTTTCACAGCATTTTTTTTATTTTTTTAATAAGTTAAGATAATATCTTCATTAATTCAAATTGGACCGATATTAAAATGTGGATTTACCAAAGCTGGAGTTTGAATTTAATTAAGCAAGACTATTTAGTTTCGTTTGATTTATATTTTTGTTATGCGCTTGTTAACATTTAAACTAAATATTTGCTTGGGTATCACAATTTTTAATCAGATTTTATATATTTTTTGTTATTATGTGGCAAGTGTTTTTCAGAAATTAAGCTTTTTAACAAGTATCTATTTTTAAATCGTATTAAAATAATCCTAAGGTTATGTACATATTTGGCAATATTATATTAATTGTACAACATTTTCATTTCACCTGCTCAGGAATGATGAGCTCTATATGGCCACCACTACCACTTCGACGAGTACCACCACAACGCCAGCGCCTCCCACCCAAGCTCCTCCACCTCGTCGTCGTCCGCAAAGGCCACAACGTCCGCTGAGACGTCCCTACAACCGCAGACCCATCGATGACTACTACTACGAGGATCAGGATCAGTACGAGGACGATTACTATGAGGAGCGTCCCGTGAGGCGACCCAAGCCAAGACCACGTCAAAGGAAGCCCCAAGTGGAACTGGACTACGATGATGAGTACGATGAGAAGCGAGCGGGGGCCAAGAAACCCATCCGGCGCAATAGGAATCGCTACCGCGACGAGGAGGAGACCCAGGAAGAGGACTACGATGAGCGGCCGAATAAGAGGGCAAGGGGAAAGCCCACAGCGGGACCGTCGGGTCGAAAGGTGTCACCCAGGAAACCAGGTCGTGTGGAGGAAAGACGCAGCTTCAACGAAGATCGTCCGCTAGGCAGGAAAAGGACAACTCCGTCATCCGCCTTAGACGACCTGGATGAGTACGAAAAACCCTATGGAGGAGTGGACCAGGAAGAGGCCGCCGAGGAGCAAACGCCGCAGAAGGTGAAGACAACTCCGAAGCCCCTCACCGAGTTCATAACACCCAAGGCGGCAGCTGCATCCGTTTATTCTCGGCCGCGGGCTCCACCGAGGATAGCTCGACCTGTGCCCATCAACGAGAAGAAAAAGTTCTCCTATCCGGTGCAAAAGATCACGGCAACCACACCGGCACCATCGAATAGTGCCCAGGAGGAGGAAGACTATCCCGAGGAGCAGGTGGAGGAGGACTATGAGCAACCTCCGGCCAGGAACACGGCCCGAAGACGGACACCAGTTCCTCGAGTGGAGCAGAAGCCAACGAGAACCACTCTGCGGAAACCAGTGACGGATAAGAAGCCTGCCGACGAGGAGTACTATGAGCCAGCAGAGCAGGAACCTTTGAGGAAACGCAAGCGTCCCTTGGCTCCCAGATCCCGTGCTCCAGCCGCAGATGTGGACTTCGAGGATGAGGATTACGAGGAGAGCCCGGCGCCCGTTTCCACAACGGCTCCTTTGAGAAACCAGAGACTGAGAACGAAAGCGACGACGACCACCAGGAAGCCAACAGTGCCACCACGTCCTCGCCAGCCGATCGTGGAGCAGGAAGAGGAGCTGGAGCATGCAGTGGAGCCTGTCGAGGAGGAGGCACCGGCCCCCAGAACGAGAGCCAATCAATTGAGCGGACGGAATGCAGGCGCTGCAATTTCTCAACGCCCTTCATCGGTACGTGTGGTCAAGCGACCCTTCCTGCCCTCCAGGGGCGGCAGTCCATATCTGCCCCGAGGCCTTCAGCCGGTGGGCGTGGCCTTGAGACCACTGCCCACCACGGATAGCACGCCCATCGACATGGGCTCCACCATTTCGGGAGTGCGTCTGCTCGAGCATGGGGCGCCTCTGTTGCGGGGAAGTCCCGATAGCCTGGAAGATGACGAGGAGGAGGCTCCTCCATCGCCCAGTCCGCCCAGGACGACACTTCCGCCGCGCAGTGCTCTGCCCACCACGCCAAAGCGAGTGGAGCAGCAGCGCCCCAAACTGAATCTCGACGAGCTCTACGAGAACGATTACGATGTCACGCTCAACGATGCACTCGATCCCACGCTGAAACCGCTCTCGCCCCAGCATCCGCATTCACATTCGCATCAGCTTCCATATCAGCAGCCGCAGCAGCAACAGCAGCAGCATTCCCAGCGGCAATATGCCAGCGCCTATAATCCATTTGCCTATCAGCCAGCGTATCAATCACCAACATCCGCTTCAGCATCAGCATCCGCATCAGCATCAGCATCCGCATCGCAGTCGCAACCAGCGAGCTATCATAGTGATTCCTATTTCTCGTCGACAGATATACGCCGGCGGGCTGTTGTCCCGGCGCAAGCCGCGCGTCCACATCGACTCGAATACGCTGCTGCCGGAGGAGCAGCCGGCGGATCGTCCGGCGGAGGAGCCGTCTCCGGGTCGGGAGTGAGTCGGAGCTACCAGCCGGTGGGCGGACGGATTGCCCAGCATTTCTACGACGACTTTGCCTACTGAAAAGTTTGCTTGTAATAAGGTGAGATTATTAGTTCGATTGCATTGTTCAAGATCCTAAGTAAATCTACTTTTCAGTTTCTTCAGCTGTAAATAAGTTTCCCCAACACAAGGAGAGTTCCAATTTGGTGCACGGCTCCAACTTCTTAAACAAATCTGTCTCTACCTTAGTTGTTTAGCCGCAAAAACCTACTCGTAATTCAAAAAGGTTTGGGACATATTAAGCACTAAATGCTGAAAAACAACATAAGCGATAAAAACTCTGCCAATTTTTGTAAAACATTAATTTTAGTTAAATTTCTGAATGTTGCAGTAATATTTGATTTCTAATTTTAGAGAATTTTTTAACATGATCTTGCAAAAAGACTTTACAAATTAACCCTTAATCGCTTATGCAACTTTTCCTTTGAGAGCTCTATATGTCCTGAACACCCTACTTATATATACGTTGTATAATACTCAAATGTCGTGATAGTAGCAGCTTGCGAATTTGTCTGCTAGCTCGTATCTAGTAGTTTATAAAACCTCCCTCCCACTCGTTTATCTCCGCTTAATCAAAAATCAAAACATAATACATCCAGCAGAACAGAACGAATCGGAACAGCATCATCGATGTCCTTAATTTACATTTAGAGAGAGCGAATACTTGATGTGTTAATTTAAAAAATCAATTTGCATACAAATTGTCTGTAATATTTAAGCTTTGTAGGAGATCGTGTTCGATGTGGAGAGCCCAGATCCAAGACTTAAGTCGGAGTGCATAACAATCAAAACAAAAACTGAAATAAATTTAAAACTAACTTTGTCTAGAACTTTACTTGGATTGGCGGCCAACTAATCTTTACGGGAAGATTTCAGGCACATCTTAAGATTCTCCGTTTCCTCCTCCAGATGGTCAAGTTTTTTCATTAAAATTATCTGAAAAGTATGTAATATTAGTGAAATCACTTTAACAACGGTAAGTTGGGTCAAACTAAATGTTCACCTTAGCTGCCGAGACGATTTCGGTGGCCACTCTAAGCGGCATATGCTCCAAGGATTGAACTAAGAGAATGGGTCTAGTTTTGGCTATATCCTCGATTGTTTTGAATCCAGCTGCAAACAGTTGCTTGGCACGATTCTGAAAAATAAATATAATTTAATTAAATTAATTAAATGCCACTTTACTACTCACAATTCTAACGGCTGGCAGTTCCATCAGCGGCTCCAACTCGAAAGTTCCACAGCGATCCATTTTGTGAAGGATCCGCTCGAACAAGGGCTTAAAGCACCAGAACTCCTCCAGTTCCTCGCACAGACGAACAATTGCACTGGAGGCGGCTAGAGATTGGCTGATCAGGTGCTGCAGTGTTCCCCGCTCGACGTTGTACTTGGTGGCCACGTTGGGGAGCGGCAGTAGATTCAGAATGTCCGCCAGTACAAGCACCTTGTACAGGCGATTCAGCTGCAGGGACAAGGGACCCTGGACCGACTGCGTCTTAAAAAGCCTAGCTGCATGGGCTTCCGTGAAGCCGAGTTGCTTGAATAAAGCCTGAGAGTCTGGCGGAAGCGAGGTGTAAACTCCAAAGAGTATGCTGGCATCGGCCGGAAACAATTCATCGCCTTTTTCGTTCGAATTGAAGCACACGACCAGGTACAACAAGTGCAAGTAGTTGGTCAGGATGAGCTGCTGCTGGGCCTGCTTCAGCTCCTTGTGGATGGCATTTGCTCGCTTGTAATCAATCCCCGCCTTGAAGGCAGCCCTTCCAATGTTGGTCAACTTAAAAGGGGTGGACTGGCCGATGAGCAAACGTCTTTCGCCAGCAGGCCTATTGGTCTGGTTCACGTCCTGCGTGGTTATGATCTCCGAGGAATTTATCTTGGACTTGGCTGCCGGCTCGTTTACCTGCAGCACTTTGTTTTTAAACATCTCGCGAAGAATTTGGAGCACTATTTCGTCCACAGCGACATCCAGGGCGCTGGCCTGCACAGACAGAAGGGTGCTGTTCACCAGCCGATTTAGATCTCGACGACATTCTGCCAGGTTCAGACCAACCACGCTTAGAATAAGAGACTAAAAGAATAATTTAATGTTAAATCAAAAAAATTAATTTAATTCGTGTTTTTCACCATTTTATTTTTGTAACTGCAAGTAAAAGCGTACCTAATTAATAATAATTTAAATTATTTAGTGTTTAAATGATGTTCTTATGAAATAATTTAAATTATAACTTTACCCAAAAAGGAATATTTTTCGGTCGCTTAAGTGTCCTACACAAATAAAATTTCATTACAGATAACTAAATTCAATTGCAGCCTTTTCTTTGCGCAAATACATTTTGTAAACTTATCTGTCTACACGTCTTCTAAACAAAAATATTATTTCCCGTTTATAACTTTCCAATTCGGCAGATTTGGCTCATGTGTCCCAATTCTTTACATCGAACCAACAATAACCAATAAGCGGAAAAATAATCCTAAACTTCCCTAAAAAACGTACATATCAGCTATTACGCTACCAAATTTCACAATTGAACTGACACCCCCAAAATAAATAAAAATCAATACAAGTTTTTTCCGCCGGTTTCTTTTATGCTCATTCAGCAGACTCAGCTCAAAAATAAACAGGCGCTCCAATACGTTGGAGCTCTCAGATTACTTAAAACTACAAAAGCACAAAAAACCGAACCCCATCGCCCAAATTCCACTCGATTCAATTACAATTTTAACGTAATTTTCAACTTGTAGTAAATTTTCTGTCAAAAATTAATTAAAATTAAAGGCCATGTTTGATTGATGTTATATTCTTCTAAATCCTACATTTAGGTGGGAATCCTTAAACGGTATTTTTCATCAATTTAAACACAAAATGGTAGTCATTTATGTATAGGAACATATTTAGAAAATATATTTTCATGTGCCGATAATCAATTAGTCAAGATGCGGTCACTTTGGTCCGGTAAGTATAGTATATAAGGCCGAAGGTTTTTGATTCTGCCTTTCAGTCTACGAACGATATTCAACGAGTAGGTTTGTGTAGTGTAGCAAAAAAATAAAGTAATTTATTATTATTTTGAACAAAAAAATAAGTATTGGCGTTTCTTAAAATAGAGGAGATTCAATTATCAGGAGAAACCAGTCCCTATAGGTAAGTATTTACATAGGTTGAGTAAAAGAATAATTTCTTATTCAATAATAGTTCACATTGGACAATTATATCCCAATTATATCAGACAAGAAAATTTTTGCAATTTTTTTAGCAACGAAACATTTTGCGAACAGTCAATATTTTTTTAACACCATGGTGGTTACCCTGGTTCATTAATATTGCCCAAAACTTCGTTTTTTTGCAAGACCACCAATGTTTTATTTTGCGTACTCTGTGTCTACAACTAGAAAAAGCCTAGCTTACAATCCGAGCTAGAGTGGCCTGTATTTTGAGAAACCTTTTCTTTTTTAACTCACCAGCAACGAACATTTTAGATAAATAGAAACAATTTTCTTGTTCATCTAGATTTTGACGTGAAAACAAATGACTAATTGCTAAATGATCCGCCGTTCTTCAATCTACAGGTTTCTTGTTAAAAAGAATCCTTTGGAAAACTTACTTGCAATCCGACTGCCTCCTGCTGATCCATTGAACTCAGCGCCTTATCCATGGGCGAGAAGAGCATTTGACCGACCAGCAAATTATCTTTGCTCTGGGCTATCAAAATGCTTTCGCCAGCCTCACCCAATCCGGCGCGACCAGCGCGTCCCACCATTTGTTTGTACTTGCACAATGTCATAAATTCCTGTCCCACATAGGGAGCTCGTATTATTACCCGCTTGGCTGGAAGATTCACGCCTGCAGCCAAAGTGGAGGTACAACAGATGACTGTAATGACTCCAAAGCGATAGGCAGTTTCTATGTACTTCCTTTCGTCTGTTGTCAAACCCGAATGGTGATAGGCAATGCCGTACGGCAGAGTTTTAGCCAAGACCGGGCTAAGTATCCCGCACATCTTGTCCAGCGCATCCATTAGATCCACCTTCTCGCTACGTCGATGCTCGAAAAACTTTTGTTTTGGAACAATGCGACTGAGAAGTAAGGCCACATTTTCACAATTCTTGCGACTGGGACAGAAAACCAGGCAGCAGTGTTCCGGAGCACATTCACTGATCAAACCAGCCAGGTGATCGGGATCTGCACGTTTCACAGCTTCGCTGTACTGCAAATAAATAGCAGACGGAATTTCATATAACTTTATATTAGTTTATAAATGAGAGAATTTCTCACATTGTAGTCAACGCTGCGACTGGGAACGAAGATCTCCTCCAGCGTTTGACCAGCCGAGTTGATTTCCAACAAATCCGAGCCACATTTAATGTACTCTTTCAGTTCCACGGGTCGAAAGCCCCTTGTATAGACATCGGCATTCAGGAAGGACGATATTTCACTGAGATTTCCTATCGTTGCGCTCATGCCCACAATTTGAATGCCGGCTGAAAAAGGAAACTTATTAACCGTTTTAGCAAGTTACCAGAAAATGGCTCACTTACCATTCAAAAACATCACCTTTGTGAGGAAAGCCTCCAAGGTGGCTCCTCTACCTCTTTCGCCAATCAAATGCAATTCGTCCACTACTACAAGACCAATCTCGTGGGGACGCTGTGCGTCTATTAAGCTGTCCATTAGAACAGCTCCCTTTTCAATGGAGGCAATGAACAGACTACGCCTCTTTCGACTCGGTTGTGGCGGACATTTGCCCTTGCCCGCCGTGTACTCCTCCACAATAAAGTCCAAATCGATGGCAAATGGAGACATGGCGCTGACCTTCTCCTGGACAATCGACACATATGGCAGAATAAACAAAACATTACGTTCGCGGCAGAGAAGTTCCCGCAACATAAGGATTTCGGCCACTAGGGTTTTTCCACCGCTCGTCGGTAGGGCATATATAAGATTTTTTCTATGCCTGATGGCAGGTAGATTCAGGCACTCGTCTTGCCATTCTAGAGGTAAGGGATGGTGGGTCAGGAGGATAGATTGAGTTTTGTTTAGTTGCACTTACCATAAAGACTCTTGATGCCCTTGTGCTCAAGTATCATCTTTTTTACCTTATCTGGCAGACCATAAAATTCACCTTTGCTGGGAAATGTGTCCTTTACTTGCTGCTCTGTTTCGTAGTCTGCAAAAGCCTGCGTCTCCCAGTTAACTGGGTCAAGAATAGATTGATTCTTAAGCTCTTCGCAGGTAACATATTGCGTTCCCTGCACTATTCCTTCTATCACAGATTTGGAAATAAAGGACATAGATTCGTCCTTAACGGAGGGCGGTGGCTTCTCCGGCGTCCGAGGCATTTTAAAGGTCACCGCCTCCAAGAAGAGTTGCGTGTTTTGCACCATGGGTTCACTGAAGTCCTCTGCGCCATGGAATATATCCTCCATTTCGGCTATGCTCAGATCGTTGAGGTTAATTTTCTTAAACACCTCGTCGGCATTGTCCTCCTCCGCCAGATCAATTGGATGGTGATCCGTTTGATTCCCGGATTCGCCGGGTTGGGGCTGATCGTTTAGAAGAAGCTTCTCAGTGCCTGGGAAGGATGTGTCGCCGAAGAGTCCAAGTCCATCATCCGATCCACTTTGCTGTAACTTTTTGTTGTTGCTAGGGTGCGCTTGCGTCCCGAAGAGCTCCTCCTTCCGGCCACCCAGCAAATCCTCCAGCTTCGCGCTGGAAAAGATGCTGTCGTCGTCGTCGCCCTCCGGCCAAATGAGACTCTCGCTGCACTGGCGCTTGGCATGGCTTCCGCTAGCAGTTTCATCGCTCAAATCCAGATTTCTTTTATTTTTATTGCAAAAAATTCGCTTATTCGACATTTATTTTATTTCGCGCTCAATAGTGTGACCGTTGCTGGAAGGTGGGAAATAAACGCAAGCCAGGGCTACAACATATCTCAAGTTAGCCGAGTTCCACACATAATTGAGTCACCGCTTGGCTGTTGATAATTTAATTTTATATACACTTCTAAACAGTATAACACATTTTTCAACCACTTGCAAGTGTTTTTTAATTTTTTTTATATAAGAAAGATAATATTTATATTATATAAGCTTTGTTGTTCAGCAATCGTTAAGAAATTGGCGAATTATTTTAACAATTTTTTTATTAAACATTTTTTTACTGAGCAACATTTAAAATTGTTGTTGTTTGAACCTGTTTCTGCACTTTCGGAAAATCGTTTTACAACACTTCTATTTACCGTTCTAAGGACCACAACAAAATTCGTGTTATTGCGTAGTTTTAAAAACGTAATTAACAATAACGCTTTAGGAGAAACTCGCATTAAAACGTAAATCGCAATCATTTATAAATCAAAAATTTTAGGGCCTGATATTGCCTGATATTGATTCCAAGATTCAATTTCCCAAACATTTTCTTAGATCTTTATTTTGATTTGGTCACTATTGGCGTGCATCGTAATTTCCTTTTTTTTTGTTTACAAAAAGCGAAGGACGTTTCGCCAGGATGAGCAGCGGATGGTATCTGCAGCATGTGACTACCGGCTCCCGCCACATTTTGCACAAGGGGATTAATGTAGTGGGTCGCCACTCGCGCTGCAATATTGTTTTGGCTGGAACCTACCAATATGTGTCCCGGGAGCACGCGAAACTCGACGTCAGCGATGGGGGCGTGGTGGTGCAGTCGATGGTGAGTTGTCCTTGTTCCTTCGGATAGTACTAGTGCCTAACCGGCAATACTTATTCACAGAACGCCTTGAATGGCATCTTCATCAATGAGGGCAAGCTGGGCGAAAAGATCAACCGGTTGGCCGTGGCGGAGGGCTCCACCATCAGCTTGGGAGTCTCGGGAGTGCCACTCAAGGAAATTTCTTCCATTCATGCCATTTTCGTTCTGAAGAAAATAGTGCCCACCGCGGAGGAGGTTATCCTTTCCTCCGACGATGACGATACCCAGCCGCTTCCCGCAGTGAGATCTCCTAGTGGAAATCAGCCCACGGAATTCAATCTCAAACAGCAAATTCCCAACTTTCCCCTCAAGAAGAACACCAGCCAGGAGGAAGAGGTGGAGCTGCCCTCAAGCTCCGGTTTGATCGCCTTTAGCGATGGCGAGGAAGACTTCCTCGAGTTCAATGGCATGGAGAGCATGGCAGAAGGCTCTCCTTCATCCCAAGTTTACGAGGAAATTGTCATTATCAGCGACTCGGATGATAATGAGTTGTACGACAAGGTGGCCGATTGGTCCAAGTTGCTAAGCCAAAAGGTCGTTCCAGATGTCATCGAAATGTCGCAGACGTACCCCCTGGCGGAGGAGGACTTTACAAATTAACCCTTAATCGCTTATGCAACTTTTCCTTTGAGAGCTCTATATGTCCTGAACACCCTACTTATATATACGTTGTATAATACTCAAATGTCGTGATAGTAGCAGCTTGCGAATTTGTCTGCTAGCTCGTATCTAGTAGTTTATAAAACCTCCCTCCCACTCGTTTATCTCCGCTTAATCAAAAATCAAAACATAATACATCCAGCAGAACAGAACGAATCGGAACAGCATCATCGATGTCCTTAATTTACATTTAGAGAGAGCGAATACTTGATGTGTTAATTTAAAAAATCAATTTGCATACAAATTGTCTGTAATATTTAAGCTTTGTAGGAGATCGTGTTCGATGTGGAGAGCCCAGATCCAAGACTTAAGTCGGAGTGCATAACAATCAAAACAAAAACTGAAATAAATTTAAAACTAACTTTGTCTAGAACTTTACTTGGATTGGCGGCCAACTAATCTTTACGGGAAGATTTCAGGCACATCTTAAGATTCTCCGTTTCCTCCTCCAGATGGTCAAGTTTTTTCATTAAAATTATCTGAAAAGTATGTAATATTAGTGAAATCACTTTAACAACGGTAAGTTGGGTCAAACTAAATGTTCACCTTAGCTGCCGAGACGATTTCGGTGGCCACTCTAAGCGGCATATGCTCCAAGGATTGAACTAAGAGAATGGGTCTAGTTTTGGCTATATCCTCGATTGTTTTGAATCCAGCTGCAAACAGTTGCTTGGCACGATTCTGAAAAATAAATATAATTTAATTAAATTAATTAAATGCCACTTTACTACTCACAATTCTAACGGCTGGCAGTTCCATCAGCGGCTCCAACTCGAAAGTTCCACAGCGATCCATTTTGTGAAGGATCCGCTCGAACAAGGGCTTAAAGCACCAGAACTCCTCCAGTTCCTCGCACAGACGAACAATTGCACTGGAGGCGGCAAGAGATTGGCTGATCAGGTGCTGCAGTGTTCCCCGCTCGACGTTGTACTTGGTGGCCACGTTGGGGAGCGGCAGTAGATTCAGAATGTCCGCCAGTACAAGCACCTTGTACAGGCGATTCAGCTGCAGGGACAAGGGACCCTGGACCGACTGCGTCTTAAAAAGCCTAGCTGCATGGGCTTCCGTGAAGCCGAGTTGCTTGAATAAAGCCTGGGAGTCTGGCGGAAGCGAGGTGTAAACTCCAAAGAGTATGCTGGCATCGGCCGGAAACAATTCATCGCCTTTTTCGTTCGAATTGAAGCACACGACCAGGTACAACAAGTGCAAGTAGTTGGTCAGGATGAGCTGCTGCTGGGCCTGCTTCAGCTCCTTGTGGATGGCATTTGCTCGCTTGTAATCAATCCCCGCCTTGAAGGCAGCCCTTCCAATGTTGGTCAACTTAAAAGGGGTGGACTGGCCGATGAGCAAACGTCTTTCGCCAGCAGGCCTATTGGTCTGGTTCACGTCCTGCGTGGTTATGATCTCCGAGGAATTTATCTTGGACTTGGCTGCCGGCTCGTTTACCTGCAGCACTTTGTTTTTAAACATCTCGCGAAGAATTTGGAGCACTATTTCGTCCACAGCGACATCCAGGGCGCTGGCCTGCACAGACAGAAGGGTGCTGTTCACCAGCCGATTTAGATCTCGACGACATTCTGCCAGGTTCAGACCAACCACGCTTAGAATAAGAGACTAAAAGAATAATTTAATGTTAAATCAAAAAAAATTAATTTAATTCGTGTTTTTCACCATTTTATTTTTGTAACTGCAAGTAAAAGCGTACCTAATTAATAATAATTTAAATTATTTAGTGTTTAAATGATGTTCTTATGAAATAATTTAAATTATAACTTTACCCAAAAAGGAATATTTTTCGGTCGCTTAAGTGTCCTACACAAATAAAATTTCATTACAGATAACTAAATTCAATTGCAGCCTTTTCTTTGCGCAAATACATTTTGTAAACTTATCTGTCTACACGTCTTCTAAACAAAAATATTATTTCCCGTTTATAACTTTCCAATTCGGCAGATTTGGCTCATGTGTCCCAATTCTTTACATCGAACCAACAATAACCAATAAGCGGAAAAATAATCCTAAACTTCCCTAAAAAACGTACATATCAGCTATTACGCTACCAAATTTCACAATTGAACTGACACCCCCAAAATAAATAAAAATCAATACAAGTTTTTTCCGCCGGTTTCTTTTATGCTCATTCAGCAGACTCAGCTCAAAAATAAACAGGCGCTCCAATACGTTGGAGCTCTCAGATTACTTAAAACTACAAAAGCACAAAAAACCGAACCCCATCGCCCAAATTCCACTCGATTCAATTACAATTTTAACGTAATTTTCAACTTGTAGTAAATTTTCTGTCAAAAATTAATTAAAATTAAAGGCCATGTTTGATTGATGTTATATTCTTCTAAATCCTACATTTAGGTGGGAATCCTTAAACGGTATTTTTCATCAATTTAAACACAAAATGGTAGTCATTTATGTATAGGAACATATTTAGAAAATATATTTTCATGTGCCGATAATCAATTAGTCAAGATGCGGTCACTTTGGTCCGGTAAGTATAGTATATAAGGCCGAAGGTTTTTGATTCTGCCTTTCAGTCTACGAACGATATTCAACGAGTAGGTTTGTGTAGTGTAGCAAAAAAATAAAGTAATTTATTATTATTTTGAACAAAAAAATAAGTATTGGCGTTTCTTAAAATAGAGGAGATTCAATTATCAGGAGAAACCAGTCCCTATAGGTAAGTATTTACATAGGTTGAGTAAAAGAATAATTTCTTATTCAATAATAGTTCACATTGGACAATTATATCCCAATTATATCAGACAAGAAAATTTTTGCAATTTTTTTAGCAACGAAACATTTTGCGAACAGTCAATATTTTTTTAACACCATGGTGGTTACCCTGGTTCATTAATATTGCCCAAAACTTCGTTTTTTTGCAAGACCACCAATGTTTTATTTTGCGTACTCTGTGTCTACAACTAGAAAAAGCCTAGCTTACAATCCGAGCTAGAGTGGCCTGTATTTTGAGAAACCTTTTCTTTTTTAACTCACCAGCAACGAACATTTTAGATAAATAGAAACAATTTTCTTGTTCATCTAGATTTTGACGTGAAAACAAATGACTAATTGCTAAATGATCCGCCGTTCTTCAATCTACAGGTTTCTTGTTAAAAAGAATCCTTTGGAAAACTTACTTGCAATCCGACTGCCTCCTGCTGATCCATTGAACTCAGCGCCTTATCCATGGGCGAGAAGAGCATTTGACCGACCAGCAAATTATCTTTGCTCTGGGCTATCAAAATGCTTTCGCCAGCCTCACCCAATCCGGCGCGACCAGCGCGTCCCACCATTTGTTTGTACTTGCACAATGTCATAAATTCCTGTCCCACATAGGGAGCTCGTATTATTACCCGCTTGGCTGGAAGATTCACGCCTGCAGCCAAAGTGGAGGTACAACAGATGACTGTAATGACTCCAAAGCGATAGGCAGTTTCTATGTACTTCCTTTCGTCTGTTGTCAAACCCGAATGGTGATAGGCAATGCCGTACGGCAGAGTTTTAGCCAAGACCGGGCTAAGTATCCCGCACATCTTGTCCAGCGCATCCATTAGATCCACCTTCTCGCTACGTCGATGCTCGAAAAACTTTTGTTTTGGAACAATGCGACTGAGAAGTAAGGCCACATTTTCACAATTCTTGCGACTGGGACAGAAAACCAGGCAGCAGTGTTCCGGAGCACATTCACTGATCAAACCAGCCAGGTGATCGGGATCTGCACGTTTCACAGCTTCGCTGTACTGCAAATAAATAGCAGACGGAATTTCATATAACTTTATATTAGTTTATAAATGAGAGAATTTCTCACATTGTAGTCAACGCTGCGACTGGGAACGAAGATCTCCTCCAGCGTTTGACCAGCCGAGTTGATTTCCAACAAATCCGAGCCACATTTAATGTACTCTTTCAGTTCCACGGGTCGAAAGCCCCTTGTATAGACATCGGCATTCAGGAAGGACGATATTTCACTGAGATTTCCTATCGTTGCGCTCATGCCCACAATTTGAATGCCGGCTGAAAAAGGAAACTTATTAACCGTTTTAGCAAGTTACCAGAAAATGGCTCACTTACCATTCAAAAACATCACCTTTGTGAGGAAAGCCTCCAAGGTGGCTCCTCTACCTCTTTCGCCAATCAAATGCAATTCGTCCACTACTACAAGACCAATCTCGTGGGGACGCTGTGCGTCTATTAAGCTGTCCATTAGAACAGCTCCCTTTTCAATGGAGGCAATGAACAGACTACGCCTCTTTCGACTCGGTTGTGGCGGACATTTGCCCTTGCCCGCCGTGTACTCCTCCACAATAAAGTCCAAATCGATGGCAAATGGAGACATGGCGCTGACCTTCTCCTGGACAATCGACACATATGGCAGAATAAACAAAACATTACGTTCGCGGCAGAGAAGTTCCCGCAACATAAGGATTTCGGCCACTAGGGTTTTTCCACCGCTCGTCGGTAGGGCATATATAAGATTTTTTCTATGCCTGATGGCAGGTAGATTCAGGCACTCGTCTTGCCATTCTAGAGGTAAGGGATGGTGGGTCAGGAGGATAGATTGAGTTTTGTTTAGTTGCACTTACCATAAAGACTCTTGATGCCCTTGTGCTCAAGTATCATCTTTTTTACCTTATCTGGCAGACCATAAAATTCACCTTTGCTGGGAAATGTGTCCTTTACTTGCTGCTCTGTTTCGTAGTCTGCAAAAGCCTGCGTCTCCCAGTTAACTGGGTCAAGAATAGATTGATTCTTAAGCTCTTCGCAGGTAACATATTGCGTTCCCTGCACTATTCCTTCTATCACAGATTTGGAAATAAAGGACATAGATTCGTCCTTAACGGAGGGCGGTGGCTTCTCCGGCGTCCGAGGCATTTTAAAGGTCACCGCCTCCAAGAAGAGTTGCGTGTTTTGCACCATGGGTTCACTGAAGTCCTCTGCGCCATGGAATATATCCTCCATTTCGGCTATGCTCAGATCGTTGAGGTTAATTTTCTTAAACACCTCGTCGGCATTGTCCTCCTCCGCCAGATCAATTGGGCTGATCGTTTAGAAGAAGCTTCTCAGTGCCTGGGAAGGATGTGTCGCCGAAGAGTCCAAGTCCATCATCCGATCCACTTTGCTGTAACTTTTTGTTGTTGCTAGGGTGCGCTTGCGTCCCGAAGAGCTCCTCCTTCCGGCCACCCAGCAAATCCTCCAGCTTCGCGCTGGAAAAGATGCTGTCGTCGTCGTCGCCCTCCGGCCAAATGAGACTCTCGCTGCACTGGCGCTTGGCATGGCTTCCGCTAGCAGTTTCATCGCTCAAATCCAGATTTCTTTTATTTTTATTGCAAAAAATTCGCTTATTCGACATTTATTTTATTTCGCGCTCAATAGTGTGACCTGTGTGGCTGGAAGGTGGGAAATAAACGCAAGCCAGGGCTACAACATATCTCAAGTTAGCCGAGTTCCACACATAATTGAGTCACCGCTTGGCTGTTGATAATTTAATTTTATATACACTTCTAAACAGTATAACACATTTTTCAACCACTTGCAAGTGTTTTTTAATTTTTTTTATATAAGAAAGATAATATTTATATTATATAAGCTTTGTTGTTCAGCAATCGTTAAGAAATTGGCGAATTATTTTAACAATTTTTTTATTAAACATTTTTTTACTGAGCAACATTTAAAATTGTTGTTGTTTGAACCTGTTTCTGCACTTTCGGAAAATCGTTTTACAACACTTCTATTTACCGTTCTAAGGACCACAACAAAATTCGTGTTATTTCGTAGTTTTAAAAACGTAATTAACAAGAACGCTTTAGGAGAAACTCGCATTAAAACGTAAATCGCAATCATTTATAAATCAAAAATTTTAGGGCCTGATATTGCCTGATATTGATTCCAAGATTCAATTTCCCAAACATTTTCTTAGATCTTTATTTTGATTTGGTCACTCTATTGGCGTGCATCGTAATTTCCTTTTTTTTTGTTTACAAAAAGCGAAGGACGTTTCGCCAGGATGAGCAGCGGATGGTATCTGCAGCATGTGACTACCGGCTCCCGCCACATTTTGCACAAGGGGATTAATGTAGTGGGTCGCCACTCGCGCTGCAATATTGTTTTGGCTGGAACCTACCAATATGTGTCCCGGGAGCACGCGAAACTCGACGTCAGCGATGGGGGCGTGGTGGTGCAGTCGATGGTGAGTTGTCCTTGTTCCTTCGGATAGTACTAGTGCCTAACCGGCAATACTTATTCACAGAACGCCTTGAATGGCATCTTCATCAATGAGGGCAAGCTGGGCGAAAAGATCAACCGGTTGGCCGTGGCGGAGGGCTCCACCATCAGCTTGGGAGTCTCGGGAGTGCCACTCAAGGAAATTTCTTCCATTCATGCCATTTTCGTTCTGAAGAAAATAGTGCCCACCGCGGAGGAGGTTATCCTTTCCTCCGACGATGACGATACCCAGCCGCTTCCCGCAGTGAGATCTCCTAGTGGAAATCAGCCCACGGAATTCAATCTCAAACAGCAAATTCCCAACTTTCCCCTCAAGAAGAACACCAGCCAGGAGGAAGAGGTGGAGCTGCCCTCAAGCTCCGGTTTGCATTTGCCGAAAATAACTGACGTTAAGCAGGAACTGGTCAACAAAACCACAGAGGATATAAGGAACATCTTTGGAGAGGCAGACGAGGCCATTCTCGACTATGTAATGGAGAAAAGTCCTTATGTGTACAACATGCTAAACAATAAGCCGGCGGGCTCTAAAACCCCCAACTTAAAAATCCATGTCGGCGATCATATTGTACTCGATACGGATTCAGATAAGGGGCAAAATCCGGAACCACAGGACAACGCCATCGTTATTGCAGACGAGAAAAAAGTCGACGAAGAGGAGGAGTACGATGAGCGTTACGCCATGTCCCAGGCAGTTTTAAAGGAAATGAAGGCCGAGATGGCCTTTAGCGATGGCGAGGAAGACTTCCTCGAGTTCAATGGCATGGAGAGCATGGCAGAAGGCTCTCCTTCATCCCAAGTTTACGAGGAAATTGTCATTATCAGCGACTCGGATGATAATGAGTTGTACGACAAGGTGGCCGATTGGTCCAAGTTGCTAAGCCAAAAGGTCGTTCCAGATGTCATCGAAATGTCGCAGACGTACCCCCTGGCGGAGGAGGATTCGAGTTCGGAATCGGAGCTGGAAATCTCTGCGAAACACAAGATAACACCTGAGAAAGGGGAGCAATTAAAGAGTCAGCAAAAATCTTGCTTAAAAACTCCGACAAAGACTTGTTTGGAGGGCAAGAAAGCAGAGACCAAAAAGTCCTCATTTCGTCGGCGTCGGCAGACAGTGGATTGCGCGGACGAAGTGCCAGATATAATCCCCAAAAAGGCCGATACCAACAAGTCCCCAATCCATAAGTTCTTAGATAAGTTGACTGAATCCGACGCAACAAAGCAAACCACTTCCAGCGAATTTAAAGATTTATGCAAAGATGCACCCAAAGACAAAGTGGAGACACCTAAAAAACCACTCCGCAACCGTTCAAAATCCTGTTATATGGATCGACCAGTAGTATTAGATGAACCATTAACCAAAAAAGGAAAGAATAATGTAAAAGAGAATCTACGCGAGCTAAGATCAAAAGGTCCCGTCAAAACATCAAAGAAAATTAGTGAAAAGACAGATAATAGTCGCGAAGTACTTGTGGTAACGCTTCATGCTCCAGAGGTTCCGGAAAAGTTGGAAAAACCTTCCAAATCCGATAAAAAGACCGAAGAAAAAAAAACTTTGGTTCGTAGCCGGCGCAAGACAATACATAGTCGTAAAGAATTGGAGGAGATGACGGGTGAAAATGTGGAAAGCAAACCGATTACTCCAACTAAGGTTTCTCCATCTAAACAGGCACAAGATATTTTTCCTAAATTGGCTGAAACTCCACTCAAAAAAAGTCCGCGTCTGCTCAACCGTTCGAAATCATGCGTTATGGACCGACCTCTTACCACGGAAACTGATGATCCTATGAAGAAGACTAAAAGCAATGCTTCCGGAAGAGTTCAGAACAATAACGAGGCGAGATTGACACGCGGACCATCCGTAATTGAGGCTCCTTCCTTGCCTAAGCATCGTGGAAAAATGCGAGGTGTCTCGGCAGAGGTTAATAGTAAGGATAAGGAGATGCAAAGCATAATAGAGCGGCAGCGTTTAGTTGATTATCAATCTGCAATGAAGACAAAGTGGATGCAAAAACCGAAAGACCAGAAAAAGGAGGATCAAAAAATAAAGGAACAACGGCGCAACGCTCTTAAGAAGCTTTCCGAAAAACCAAAAGACAATGATAACAGCTCGAAATCCAGCAAGAGAAAGAAACCAGCAAGTGTGCCCACTGTTCACAACTCCAATCGCGGCGAATTCCTCACCAAAGGAGTTGATGGTCCACCAGCAAAAGTTGCCAAGATGGAGAACGCCATGCCGCCGCCAAAGAAACCAATTCCCAAACGACGTTCCACCATTGAGACATTCTCGCAGCAGCTGCAGGCAGCTGATGAAGCCGTCCTTTATCCGCAACCACTTTGCCCTCGTGCAACGGAGCGGAAGGAGGCTGAGCGGGCAAGAAATCAGCGCACCTGTAACAGAGTTACATTTGCTGGAATGGAACAGGAACTTAAAAAGATCGAAGATATAACAAAGCTTCAAAAAAAGATGCGAAAAGTAACATTTAATGATGATGTGAAAATTTATTTAATAGAAAAGATCTCGGGGGCCAGTTCTCCGGTCAAGAACCGCAAGGAGAGCATGAAGCTGTTCCTCAGCTCGTACCGCGAACGACGCGAGTGGGTCTTAAAGGGCAACAAACCCATAAACGACATACGTCAGCACTCGCGAACCATCCTTCGGTGGGCTAATGAGTGGCTAAAGCTCGGCAGCGTGGATGCGGTTGCCAATCAAGATATCCTACTACCTATTCCTGACGAATTTGATAGTTTCAGGCAGTACAGGGAGTGAGTTTAACAATATTCATTAAAATAAAATGTTTACAATTGTCTTGTTTTATAATAGGACCTTTGTACCATTGATGAAGCTGGAGCTGCTGACAACCATCGAGATGGACTACAAGATAAACTGCAAAAATATATTTTCAGTCGGCCTGAAGAGCGTTTCCAGTCAGGATAAATGCTACCGTTTGGTTACCAGGGGTATGTATTTTAGTCAAATACTCTTAACCTTATTTAAGGTTACTAGTTTTACCTACGTGATTATTATGTGATAAACTATTCTTCGACAGCTATAAAAGATTTAGATTTATTTTAATGATTGTTTATTACAGTCAATAGCAGACCCGTTGGCAGATTCGTACTGTATACTCTTTCCAGTAGTAGCCAACTGGACGAGACTTTTGCCAGTCTGGTAGACTATAAGTGTGTCGGAGGTGGGTCACAATATGCTTAAATAATCCTAAACAACACTAACATTAATATGTTTTCGGATGCATAAGGCAACGTCTTTGACTTGACCTTCGACATCCTTCAGCAGGACATATCCGAGGAGAAGATCAACAGCGTGAAGCAGCTGATCGCCCGTCCAGTCGTGGATAGTCTAAGGGTGGAGTTGGGTGCCTTGAGTGCTGTCCATCAGCTCTCCCGGTCGCCGCTCTGCCGTCGCATCATGAAGCCCACACAAACGGTGAATGACTCACTACCAAAGCAGTCCTTCACCTTTAAGGGATTCAGCAGGTTGAACGAGCATCAGGAGAGCATTTGCATTCGCACTTATCAGCGGATAATCGACGATTTCCAACCTAGTCTCACAATGATCCAGGGCCCACCCGGGTCGGGCAAGTCAAAGGTTATATCGGAACTATGCCTGCAAACCCTGTACGGAAGTGCCGCAAAAACGCTGGACCGCAAAATCTTGATTTGTACCCATTCCAACACGGCCGTAGATCATATTGTTGCAGTGCTGGGTGGAGTTTTGCGCGTTATGAACCACGATCGTTTCCACCTGTTGCGGTTCGGAATGCACGAGAAGATGAGCCATTACTCGCGTCCTTACTCGCTGGAGGAGCATTTCAAGAAAGCCAAGTTACAGAAGATGCAACGCCTTAGCCCGGAGAACACTGAAATTCTTAAGAAACAGCTAGTCGATATGAATGCGGAGATCCAACAGCTAAGGCAGAAGGCGAATCTTACGGGGACGTATCTACAGCAGCAGTTGCACCAGAAGGAGCGTCAACTGCAACTGATCAACGAGCAACTGAATCCGCCGCTTACGCAGCGCGAGGAGTTTGACATTTCAAAAATCTGTGTGGATCACGCCAATATTATCTGCACCACGCTTTCCTCATGTGTAAAGCTGGCCAACTATGTGGACTTCTTTGACATCTGCATCATTGACGAGGCCACGCAATGCACCGAGCCATGGACGCTGCTGCCCATGAGATTTGGTCTGACGCATCTGGTTCTGGTCGGAGACACTCAACAACTGCCGGCGGTGGTGCTGTCTAAAAAAGCGATCGATTTTGGACTGTCCAATTCCATGTTCGATCGCATCCAGCGGAGTCTGCAGAAACAGCTGGACAAACCAGGCGGTAATCAGTTTGTACATACGAAGCTCTTCAAGCTGAGCATGCAGTACCGCATGCACCCGGAGATTTGCCGTTGGCCGAATAAGTATTTCTACGAGGATCAGTTGGTCAATGCCGAGTGTACACAGCGTTTTACCTCGCCTTTAATTCCCTACTGCGTGATCAATCTGAGCTACACCCAAGACGACAGTGGCGCTCAAAGCAAAAGTATAAGCAACGACGAGGAGGCACGCTTTGTGGGTAAACTCCTGGCAGAGATGGACAAGCACATGCCCAGCAAGCGCTACAGCTACGGTTTAATTTCGCCTTACCAAAACCAGTGTTACGCTTTGGGCCAGGTGATCCCCAGTCACATGGATCTCACGCCGGTGACGGTGGACTCGTACCAGGGATTGGAAAAAGATGTCATTGTCATCTCTAATGCAAGGACACGCGGCTGCGGCTTCCTCTCCAACTATCATCGACTCAATGTAGCGCTAACCAGGCCGCGTCGGTGTCTGGTAATATGTGGGAATTTTGATGATCTAAAGGTTAGTTGTGCAATAGATGCTACATTTTACAGAATATTTTTGAACTCTTAATCCATTTCAGTCTGTGGATATGTGGCGTCAGTTGCTAGACGATGCCCGCGAGCGGAAAGTTTACTTTGATTTGAAACGAGAGCACGTAGACGACCTACAAAGCTCCCTGATCACCAAAATGATGGTGAAACCCATTGAAATAATTTAGGGGAATCAGCATGCCCCTGCTAGAAATACAGTTGAAGTGATTAAAACGGATAATTAGCTTAAAAATTGCCCCAAGTGCCAAGGAAGATAAGCGCTTTCCTTATGAGTATTAACTTAATATGTTTTTTTTATGTATTATATCATTTTTATATATTTAACATAGAGACTTTAAGATTGAAATCTTTGTACACTTAGTTCATTAAAACACCGTTGACTTGCATTTCCTTCGTAAATGCCATACAGATGCTCGTATAACAGGATTTATAAGTAACCGATTATATATCATCTATGTACTTTTTGAGAAAGTGTCGCGGGTTAAGGATGATTCTGATGTATTTTGAATGACCAAAGGAACGTTAAGAAATAAATATTGAAATGTTTAAATCAATTGTTTACTGTCTATGTATTGCACTAAACAGAATTTCAGCATTACAGAAGTTTGTCCTGGCATTTTAATCTCCTTTTCGACCCTCAGGTAATTAACTAAAATGCGCTTTAATTAATCTAATCTCCAGCTCAGGCGCTGTCTGCCTCGTCTCATATCTAAGTTATTGGTATAGTAAGTAAATTCACTAACAACACGCACACACACATAGTTGATATTAAATTCATAGTTATTCTGTTTGCTTAGCCTTGCGTTGAATTTGACGCCTGTCACTTGGGCATTAAAATTAATGGAATCGCTTAATAATACGATTGCACCAATTCTACCAACACAATCGATTTAACTTAATGAAAGTAAATGAAGATACTAACTTAGGAAATTATTTAAAATGTAGCAACAAAATCTAACTAAGGACTAAAAACATAAAAATTATGCCCGTAAATAACTTATTTTATGTGGCTGCTTAAAAGTGCTTGCCCCGTTTGCTTACAGATATATATCAATGTATATATATATAGAAATTTCGGCATTATAATAAGAAAGTACTAATAAACCAAACTTCTTGTCCGAATCTAACTGATAGCCGATTAAGCTTAGGTTAGCATGTCACCCAGGTTGTCCTTGAGCGACTGATAAATTTGGTATTGTTGATCAGGTTTAAGGTTGTATATCTGTGTCAGCAGCTTCGCTGGCGACGGAGTTCTAATGAAGCTGGATATATAAACGTTGACGAAGGTGGCCATGAGGAACTGGCAATCGAAGCGATCCATAATGCCGCCATGTCCGGGAATCATGTCGCCAAAGTCCTGTAAATAAAAGAGCTTTGCGTTAGGAAAGAAATTTGTTCTGTGAAAGCAGAACTCACCTTAATTTTGAAAGCTCTCTTAAATCCAGAGGCAAAAAAGCCGCCAAATGGTCCAATTATAGAGCTAAACAGACTCAGTGAGATTGAGTGCCAGATGTAGGGGTAGAGGCTTAAAGTTTTGCCAATGCCAAACTGGAAATGATTAACATTAAGAAGGGATTAGTTGATTTCAGAGATCGGTGATTTAATCTTTGTAAATAACTACAGCTATTGATTGAACAGAACACATCTTCTCTCATTCTCTCTCAACTAAACGACAGACAAGTGTCATCCATATATCCACATGCATACGAAATCAAGCAGGCCATAAAACACCCCCGCTGTCAATTGTCATCATCACTTACCAACTTAAGGCTGTATTCCTGCGGCGTGAACAGATAGCTGGGTACGCAAGACATCGTCATGCGACCCAATTCCTCGGAGTACTGGATGGGGCAGATGAAGTACTGGTAGTTGCACAGCACATAAGAGAACAGAATGCCAAAGAGGACGGTGGCGAAGCCACCCCCGATGAAGCCCTCCCAGGTCTTCTTGGGGCTGAGCTTGATGAGGGGCGTGCGCCCGAAGAAGAACCCGAACACGTACGCCATGACATCATTGCACACAATCATGGAGACAGGTACGATAAACCAAATGAGACCTTCGAATATATTCTGGATGATGAGGTAGCTCTGGGTGACGACAATCAGCAGGGATACGTGGGTCCAGGCGAACAGACTAAACTGTTTGATGTAGTACTTCTTCACCAGAGAAAGGACGAACCAAACGAATCCGATGATGTAGAGGGCGAAGGATAGGAAGCGGTGATAGGTCACCAGGAACTTCAGGTACTCCTGTGAAAGAAAGGGCAGGTTTATTACCATATTAATATAAAAAATGCTAGTTTTTACTGACCACTCGATTGATGACCACTCCAAAATAGTCCACCAGATTCTCACCGTAGAAGAAGTAATTGGAGGTGAGTAGGAAGTACCAGGAAAGACTCCGAAACCAGGGCAAGCCGTGAATACGATACACCTGGTAGCCGATCGAGATGATCTCCTGGAAGCATTTCACCTGCACCAGCAAAGTCTACAGAGAGAAAGTACAAAAATAATTAGTTAGACACTCGTTTTAACTTAATTCCACCGATCTTACCGTGATCATCAAGGCCAACGGTCCGCCATAGATGATCAGTGCGAAGCCGCAAATCATAATCCATGTGAAAATGCCGCGAATGACCCAATTCTTCCATCTGTGGAATGTACATATTTATTTAGAATATTTGCTCGCCAACTGCAGCCAGCTGTGGATTTGGAATATTTTTGGAATACACTCATTCTGCCGAATTTCTAAAATTCACACTTTTATAGGCCAAATAAATACAAACAAAATTATATTACCACATTTTACAATTTTCCTGTCTTACTATTGAAAGGAAATTGTATCTTCAATCAATACAATTTGTATATTTAAGGAAGTACTGTACTCAAAGTGGAAATGGAAGCACTTTGAATTTTTTTATAAATATTTTTTAATGTTCAAAACGAGTTGCGCTCTCAAAAAACATTTTTTAAAACCTGATATTGTCAGGAAAAACTATTTTTATTCAAGCGTGCAATTCAATGCCTCATCAATTAGATATTAATACCAATATATACAAACTGATACCATTTTAAAATACTGCTAATGAATGATTAATATATTTGCAACTTGTTGAGTAGATCACTTATTATTTATAATTTTTCAGTTTTAAAAAGCGCTCAATATTTCTATTTGTGGTACCATATATAAGTACTATGCACTTTCATATAACACATTTTTAAATTTTCAAACAATCACTTAATTTTTGAGTATTTAAATTTGAACTTTTAAAGCTTTCAACTATGGTTCCACTATGTATTTTGCACTTACCTATCTGGCAAATCCTTGAGGGCTGAGTCTAGTAGTTCGGGCGTCTTGTCAGTTCCCTGCGGCAGATTCTTGGCCAGCTCATCGACGAACTTCTCCTCGGGAATCTTCTCCTCCTCGGAGTCCACCTGCAAGGGGAATGCACATATTGATTGGCTGCAGTTGCTAAATGGGTGCCCTATCGGATTCGATACGACCGGAGTGCAGGGTTTAAGCACTTTCTATTGGGCGCTGTGCAAAGTCCAAGATACGTGTATGTGGCTATATACCCATAATCAGAATCACTCGTTTATCCAATACACAGACATAAAAAAAAACAGAAGAGGGGGGAAAAGGTGGGGAGACAAATTGCGGGCTTTTTCGGTGGCGTGTTTTGTTTGTTGCCAAATCGGTCGGTTGATAAGGAGACATTTGGGGGCTTATCACCGAGAAAAATCAAGCCGGAAAGGGAGGAGGAAGTCTGGTAATGGTAATAGTTCTGGGTTCTGTGCTTCCGTAATTGTCGCCTTCTTAATTGGATTTGCTTGGAATAATGGCGCTATATTGCAGCACAGCAGGTGGGTGGGGGTGGGTTTCTGTTTGTTATTGGATTTTCTCCTGGAGAGAGCTCTCTCTCTCTCCCTCTCTCTTTCTCGCCGTCAGAGAATAACAAAAACACACACACCCACACACATTTGTTGGTATACACACATTGGGTTTTCTATGCTCCAAGAATTATGCAAATTGGAATCCGGAACAGGCGGCTCGACTGCCATGCTCTGTTCTGCTCCACATAGAAGTCATTGCCACTTACATGATCCGAGGAATCGGCGGCGGAGGAGTTCCGCTTGTTGGCTCCTCCGGAACCGGAGATCGCGGTGTCCTCCAGTGGCTCCTCCTCGCCCTTCCTGCGTCGCACTTCGGCCATTTTTCGAATTTCCGCAAATCTATTCCCAATCTATTGATTCCAATTGATTCCGCTTGAGCAGTTCGTCCGTGTTCCGCTGTGATCCGTAATCCGTGATCCGTATGTCCACTTCGTCCGAATTAAAATGAAACTATGTTTTTTTCTCTATTGAGGTGTGACCAGGTGGCATTAAATGTGCTATGGTGGAAAGTGGGGGAGCAGCAGTGTTGGACAGTGCTCACATTGTTGTTAGCTTCTGGTTTCAAAATTCTGACTTAAATCTATTAGGTAAAAAGTTTCAAAAATAAACTTTTAAGCTAATTTGGTTTTTATTATGTCGCAAAAGAAACTCATTCTCTATTAATAAATATAATTATACCGAATTACTCATAATATTGTTAATAAATGGAAAAAGAGTTTGGAGACTAACATTTATTTTTTCAGTTAATTATAAGTATGTACTTAAGAATTATTTAATTTATTCCAATTAAAAAAAACTGTAACTTTTAATTCACAGCTTAAGTCACGGTTAAAATCACACTACTCGCCATCCCTGAAAAAGGTAGTGTTCAACATTTAACGTTTTTCAACACTTCTACCGGCGGCGTCACTTGCAATTTTTCCATCTCGCCAATATTCAATTTTCTTGCCAAAAATACGAAAAGCGCAAAGCGTAAATAGAGAAAATGGCAGCAGCTATTGATGGTGTTTTCCCAGACACGTTGCAGGAGCTGGTGAAGAAGTCCAAGGTGCTGGTAGTGGGAGCCGGCGGAATTGGCTGCGAGGTGCTCAAAAACCTTGTGCTCAGCGGCTTCACAGATATTGAAATTGTAAGTTATTTGGCGAAATACAAAGCTTTCAGCGATAATATATTGACTATATACAGATCGATCTGGATACTATTGATCTGAGCAACTTGAACCGACAGTTCCTGTTCCATCGTGAGCACGTTGGAAAATCGAAGGCAAAGGTGGCGAGGGAAAGCGCCCTGAGCTTCAATCCGGATGCCAAGATAACCGCCTACCATGACAGCGTCACATCGTGAGTTGGGAAAGCACAATCTTAGATACACCTTGGTTATATAGTAATCCTATTATCCCTCCATTTTCAGTACCGATTATGGAGTCACCTTCTTTAAGAAGTTCGATTTGGTGCTAAGTGCCCTGGACAACAGGGCGGCCAGGAACCATGTGAATCGCATGTGCCTGAATGCGGATGTCCCGCTGATCGAGAGCGGCACCGCCGGCTACAATGGCCAGGTGGAGCTGATCAAGCGAGGACTCACCCAGTGCTACGAGTGTACGCCGAAGGACAAACAGCGCAGCTTCCCCGGCTGCACCATTCGCAATACGCCCTCTGAACCGATTCACTGCATCGTCTGGGCCAAGCACCTCTTCAAGTGAGTTATTAGATGCAGTGAGCAGATTTTCTTGCTTTTGAACTGATGCATCCATTTATCAGTTGGGAGAATTCCTTTTATTTAAGTCTCGTTAATTTTATAAATATAAAGAGGGTTTATTAGTTGAATTTAAATAATAATAGATTATCTGGTCTACTATGGTTTTAAATTAAATTCACTCTTACTAACTTTTATTCAGTAAACCAACTAATTTCTTATTTTGTCATTAATCATCAATAACTTATATCTGAATTTCCTTTTCAGTCAACTCTTCGGCGAGTCCCTGGAAGATGAGGATATTTCTCCTGATGCCGCTGATCCCGATGCCAAGGAAAAAGATGAAGCCGGTGGAGACGCTGAGCCAAAAGCAGATGGAGAGGAAAAGGAGAAGGCCGAAGAGTCCAAGGAGGAGAAGGAGGAAGAGTCCAAGGAGGAGAAGGATGGCAAAGAGGCTACGGCCAACGGCAATGTGGTGCGAATCAATACTCGCCAGTGGGCCAAGGATTGCAACTACGATGCTGGCAAGCTGTTCAACAAGTTCTTCAACGAGGATATTACCTACCTGTTGCGCATGTCGAATCTCTGGAAGACGCGAAAGGCACCCGTGCCCGTGCAGTGGGACAACCTGTTGCCCGATGGATCCTCTGGCGACCAGAAGGACGTGGCCAAGCAGCACCACAAGGTCTGGAGCATCGAGGAGTGTGGCCACGTCTTTGCCAATGCTTTGAAGGAGTTGAGCGCGAGCTTCCTAAAACTCGAAGGCGAAGATACCCTGGCTTGGGATAAGGATGACCAGCCGGCCATGGATTTCGTAGCCGCCTGCGCGAATGTGCGTTCCCACATCTTCAACATTGAGCGCAAGTCGCGGTTTGAGATCAAGTCGATGGCAGGCAACATCATTCCGGCTATAGCCACCACCAATGCGATTACGGCGGGCATTTCGGTGATGAGAGCTTTTAAAGTACTGGAGGCCAAGTGGGAGCAGTGCAAGGCTGTCTACGCCCGACTCAGGCCAAATGCACGCAACCATTTTCTCGTACCCGACGCGTCTCTTCCGGGTCCCAATCCCAATTGCTATGTGTGTGCCAGCGATCCGGCCATAACTCTCAAGATTGATACAAAACGCTTACGCATACGGGAGCTGCGCGACGAGGTACTGGTGAAGACACTCAACATGCTCAATCCGGATGTGACCGTCCAGAGCAACGGCTCCATTTTGATCTCTTCGGAGGAGGGCGAAACCGAATGCAACGAGGGCAAACTCCTGAGCGAGCTGAACATCGTGGATGGTGTTATTCTCAAGTGCGACGACTTCTTCCAGAACTACGAGCTAAGTATTATCATCTCCCACTTCGATGCGGAGCGTGATCAGACTTTGTTTGAAGTGGTTGCCGATGCATCACAGCTGAAGCCCAAGGAGGAGGAACAGAAGAAGGAAGCTGCGGAAGAGGAGGAGAAGGAGGAGGAACAGAAAACGGCCAAAAAGCGTTCTGCCAACGGGGAAGGAGACTCCAAGGACGATGGTCCCTCCACCTCGAAGCGCAGCCGACCCACCGAAGTGGATGATGAAGATGACGATGACTGTCTGGTGATCGAGGAGGACGAGGATGAAGCGGACGTCGTTGTCGTCGCCACAGACAAACTCTCCGTGCAGAGTCCGCCAAAGGTGGGCTCAAAGCGCAAGCCCAGCGAAGTAATCGAGGATGAGGACATCACCGAGATCTTGGATTCCTCCGACGATGAGCCCGCGGGACCCACCAAGAGCAAGCGCTCCCGTCTGGATGAGTCGCTGTCCAATCCCGTAGAAGTCATCAGTATCGATTAATAAAAAAAAACAAACTATTCGAATAAGTTCTCTGCTGCAGACTAAAATATCTCTTGGATTCCTTTTAATGAAAAATATGTTAACAAAACGTTTTTTTTATGAATCATAAAAACTTTGAATTGTCATCTTTCTAAAAGGGTTATTTAATTAAATGTGTGGATTGCTGCATATTTTTCGAAGAAATTATTTATTAGTTCGAAAATGACGTACGGGGATGATTAATTTTTGCTTTATAAAACTCATATAAACTCGAGTGTATATTCACATGTACAAACTACAAATTATAAAATTTGTGTTTTTGTGATTTTAAATTCGATAATTTTTTGTCCTCCAGTGTTGCCAAGCACCCAAAGTCAATGTGTTTGTTATCGCTTCTGACTAGTTGTATCCAAAACAGAACAGGTGAACTTTTCCCCAAAATTCTTTGAAAATCTCAATGAAAATGGATTTTTCAGATGTCCCTGGCTAGTAGAATCCTGCAACAAGGCTCCCGCCTGTGGAATGGCCTCAGTGCCGCACGTGGCTTCCACATCCTCATGCGCCCGGCGATTCCTGCCAGCGGAGCCATGCAAAACACACAACTGATGGCTGCCACAAGTGGGATCTCTCAAGAATCGGGACTCCTGACTCCCAGCTTTTCGCTGCTGCAGCAGGTTGCCGGGTTTAAGGTCAAGGGCAACCTAAAGCGGCGCTGCAAAGACTGCTACATCGTGGTGCGCCAGGAGCGCGGTTATGTCATCTGCCCCACGCACCCGCGCCACAAGCAGATGTCGATGAAGAAGCGCGACTACAAGTCCTGGATCCTGACGCACGCCACCCAGTCCAAGGAGCGCGGGTTTTAGTCCTAATTAGGTCTTAATTAAAGCATTTGTTTAAATATCATGTTCTTAAATAAACAACAAAAAATAAAACCAAGTGGTAAATAAATTGTGACGTTTTACAACACTTCACGACGCAGCTGATTTCAATTTAAAGCGGGACTTGCCGTGGATTGCTTTCATTTTGCAGAATTCTGATTAATAGGAATATGAAAAGTTACTTTTAGCAATCGTAACTTTATAGCTATTTATTATTTAAAATAATTTGTACACCTAATTAAATGGTATCCATTGGCTTAATGTCATATTTAATAGCATTAATAAAAAAGGAAAATAAGAAACCAAGTTAGCGAGCTCTTACCAAAACTGAGACTATTTTCAGCACTGGTCGAACAGCTGACTGTTTGTTTATCTTGATTCGGGAAGAGATTTGATTTTGCAGTCTTTTTTTGCCGCTTATCCGGAGTATTGCTGTTTCCGGCCGGAATTCAGAGCACCTGATCGCAAAAGATGACGACGCACTTCACCAATGTGCTGCGGCAGGCCTTCAAAACCTTTGACCGGGCGAATCACGCCAGCTTTAATGCCAATTTGCAGCACCTGCGCCAACTGACGGATGAACTGACCTACCGGGACTTGCATCTGCGCGAGGAACTCTTCCGGAACGTGGCCAGCCACCGGGCGCCCTGCAGCTACATGCACATCTTCGAGGACGATCGATTCTCCATGAGCCTGTTCATAGTGCGCGGAGCGAATGCGATACCCCTGCACGATCACCCCATGATGTTTGGCCTCTTGCGCTGCATCTGGGGTCAGTTGAGGGTGGACAGCTATTCGCAACAGATCGGCCCGGATGAGCCGCTGACCTACGATCCCGATCCCACGGTGGTGAAAGTGAATCCGGAGGAGCCGTGCCTAGTTTCGCCCAATAGCCCGTGCGCCACATTGACGCCGCGAAAGAGGAACTACCATCAGATTGCCCAAGCCGGCCATGGCGTGGCCGCCTTCTTCGACATACTAAGTCCGCCCTACGACGCGGATATGCCCACATATGGACCACGACAGTGCCGCTTTTACGGCGCCAAGGCGGATGGCGGTCAAGTCCAGCTGCACTGCATCCCCTCGCCGGACACGTACTACTGCGATGTGGTGGACACGCCCGAGTCCGTGGTGCAGGCCGCCTTTCAGTGCGCCGACGAGGCCTATGCCGAAAATGCCAGCGGGACGCAGTGACTGCCTGAGCCTTTCCCGTTTCCCAGCAGCTAAACACCCTCCTATTTATTCGCCCATCATCACGCGTTGGCTACCCAGTATCAGCCAAGTATCTTCTGTGTTATTTAAATAAAATTGCCTCTTTTTTTTGTAGAAATCGCTCCGCTTTCACGGACTTTGTTAGGTTTTAATCTTCTTGAGCTTGGTAAATGTCCTGGTTGCGTCGCTTCAGTTTCTTAAGATTGGGACTAGCGAGCACGGGAGCGGGTTCCTCCGTTGTAACTGCTACTGTGGGTTGATCAGCTTCTTCTGGTTCTGGTTTCTCCTCATCGGGCAAATCGATTACGTTTTTGTCGGTGGTATCTGCAGCTTTTGCTATGGGAGCTGGCAGGGCTAAATTCAGTTTCCTTTTTGTAGGCGTGACTAGGAGCTCAGCCATTTCTTCTTCTGGTTGCTCTTCTACAACACTTTCATTCGCGGGTACCGTTGTCTCTGCAGATCCCACTGCTGGCAGGTCCTTGCCGTTCGCCAGCAAAACCAAGCACAGTGGATCATCTATGCCTAAGGCGGCGCAGAAGGTATTGCTTTGGGGATTCAGATGGACCTTTGGTTGTCCCACAACCATGCGCTTGTAGTTGGATTGCTCCTTAGGATCAAAAGCTGGTACAGTGCGCTCAAAGTTCTCCGGCACCTGGAGTTTCTGGAACTTTGTGGTCACAGCTTCCAATTCCTCCTCGGTGGGCGTGAAGTTAAAGCGTTCTGTAAGTGCTCCCGCCTTTTTTCCAGGCAAATAGTAGTAGTTATCCTTTACAGAAATCAAATGATTGGTACTGTGCAAGATGGCCAGCCATTCGGCGTCGTATTCCAGGCGTGGATTACCTTCAATTGGGTCACTTGGAATCTCCACCACTTGCAGGAAAGCACGTCGCGGCAGGCATTTGTCTAATGCCAGGAATTTGGTCACAGGAACCGGTTTCGAAGGGGGGAGAGGAGCAGCCTTCTTTTCCTTCTCCTCGTCTTCATCCTCACTGCTGCTGCTGGAGGAGGAAGATGCATCATCCGCTCGCTGCTGGCTGTGATTATGCGGCACCAGGGCGGCAAACTTGCAGTGCAGATGGGCAGCGAACCAGTATGCTGGCTGGACGGCTTTCAGCAGCTCCTCCAGCGGCAGACTGCCCAGCTTACCGCTCTCCATGTCCGCCGCAAAGAAGGGTTTCTTGCGCAGCAGCTGCGCCTTGTTGCCGTACTCATAGATCCCGGTGGGCCAGTCGTGTGAGAGGAAGATATCCACTCGTCCGGACAACTGCTTCAGCCGGAACACTTCCAACTGCCGCACGTGATAGACACTGCGGCAGGTGGAGTCCGTGTACGGCGGATATTCGTGGTGGCCGCGCAAAAAGTCGTGACCCTTATAGATCCCACTAATTCCCGCGATGCGAACTCCATTTACATTGACCACGCCCGCGTAGCCGAGGTAGTAGATATTGGGAGCCACCCAGCCGCCGTAAGGGAGCTCTTGCAGGTAATTGGAGGCCTCGTGGTTGCCGCCAATGAAAATGGTCAGCACTGGAGCCACCAGCTCGCCGCTGTAGTATCTGATTTAGAGAATAGATTAGCCCAGCTGCTAGTTACAGGAATGACATCCACTCACTTGTAAAAGGTGCACATGTCCAGGTATTTCTTAGGAACCGCCATCGTCTGCAAATCCTCCACATTCCGGGTGGATTGGAAGTCGCCACAGCACAGTAGGAGGTCGATCTTGGTTCCGCTTTCCTTTTCGATTCCCGCGATGGTTTCATATATGCGCTCCAGTTCGCCATGGGCACATCCTTCTACAGCTACTTTCATGCTTACACGATTTATTTATGAAATTTCGGTTGTAAACAAAAAGAAAAGGCGGTATACAAAATAGTGTGAAAAAATGTCATATAGTTATTTAGAGATGACACTGATTTAAGCATTGCCTATCGATAACTCTAGTTCTTGGGCGGGAAAATTAAAATTCTAAATCCCTATTCAAAAATAAATTTGTTATAAATTCTGTTGCAAAACTTTTGTTGAAACATTTTTATTTACAAATCCTTTTTAAATATTTTCAAATATAGATAAAAAAAAATCCGTTTAAATATACCACATTTTTTATTTTGATTTTTGATTGCTTTTTATCTAAAAGCCCTTGCCCCGTGAAGTACAAATGGTTCCAGTTCAAACGTTAAAAATGTTTTTTTTGTTTATTTTTCAAAAATATCGCTCCATTTAGTATAGTATGTGTGTGTAAAGAAAATGTATGTGAAATGCTCTGCGTTTAATTCTCATTCTCTGACCTAGATGCCATCTTTTTTGGAGTTCTGCGGGGGCGTGCTGGTGGGCACAATCTCATTACATGAGACCTTCTCGTCGTCGACGTGTTTGTTTTTCGTTTCGTTTCGTTTTGTTTACATAGAAAGATTTACAATGGACTTTCGACTTAAGTTATTATAATTTAGTTGGCCGCAATGGCCAAGAAATAGGAAGTAAAATATAAATCTACAATAAATATAGTGCGGTCTTGACGCTGCTAGACCGATCGATCCACCGATTTGGGCGAACCCATCGGTAAATGCAGCATGCATGGGTACACGGAGTGTACGAAAACCAGGAGAATGCCTTTAAAGCCATCATCAGCATGCCAGATGTGTTTTGTTTGATGTTTTTGTTATTTTTTGGAAAGAATATGAGAAACAATCAAGTCAGAAATCGAACCAAGTCTCTGGTGATCTGGTCAATTCAGTTAATTAGGAGCCGAACTTGAACGACGTGGGCACGACGGTCTGTGGGAAGGCGAAGCCGCCCTGTTTTTCGATCAGCTTCGATTCCTTGGCGGCCTTGCGTTGGTCGGCGGTCACAACGACCTCCTGCAGCGCCTTGGCCTGTTCGGGCGTGAGGTTGGAGGTCAGGAGCGCATACCAGGCTTGGTCCTGTGCAGAAAGTGCTATGGAGGAGGAAAAGGTGATATTGATTTTCTGATTTCATGCAGGAAAACCATGCAAACTCACCTGTAATAACTTCCTTAAACGTCCAGTACTCATCGATGGCACTGTCGTTCTCCTCGTCGTCGATGGGCGTGGTGAAGGACTCCAGTCCAGTCTCGTTCAGATCTCCAACCGACTCCTCCGCCTCTCCGTCTGAGTCCGCATCCTCGTCCTTGATTTCGGCCTTAACCTCGAAACCCGACTCGCCGCCCTTCGTCTTAGCGTACTCGGCCAACTTGTCTAGATAGTCGGGCGCCATCTCATCCATGTCATCCTCGTCACTGGACAGAGCCTCCTCGCAGTCGTCACCGTCCTCCTCCTCCTCTTCTTCCTCCTCCTCCTGAGCCCGGGACTCGTAGGCGCGTTTTAAACCATCGAAAAGTAAAATGAGGGCAGGCACAATCTTGCCGGCCACCTCGCTCAGCACCTGTGGTTTGGCTTCACCCAGCGAGATGAGGGTGCATAGTCCCAGGACGCAGAGTTTTCGATCGTGGATGCTGCAAGGTACAAGTTAATAAGTAATGATCAAAGCTATAATAAGTCTGCGAAATTTTACCCTAGGAAACAGTCCGTGTCGTGAAGCCACTGCTTGATAAAGTGAGCGCTGATCGACTCATTGTTCTGCTGAGACATCTTGTCCAGAATGGACATCAGCAACTGGGGATTATAGTACAGCGCCGCGATCACCACCTGCAGGCACATGGTGCGCAGCTCCGAGGACTGAACCTCGCGCGTCAGCCGGGACAGAGCCAGCTCCACAAACATGTGTATCACTGAGTCGATTTGGCCCTTGCACTGCAGGATGATCACCTCCATCAGTTTGGCGGCATGGCACTCGGGATCTTCGCCAGGGCTGCCAGTGAGCATCTAATAGAGAAAATAACAATTCGTTATATTTGTTTGATTATTTTAGACAAGGATAAGAGACTCACCGTTTTGCACATGTCGAGAATGGCCAACAGCCTGTTGGGATTGGAGAGGAAGGCGGGCGTGTCGACTGTCACATAGTTATGCAGCGCAGGCATAATGTCGATAAAGTAGTCAATGCCGTCCTTCTTGAACACCTGGTAGATCAGCTCCAGCATCTGCCACATCTCAGGAGAGATGGCCTTGGCCGTCAGATCATAGACCAGCGAGAAGGTTTCCTCATAAAAGTCTACAGAAGACACGCCGTTATTACAACAGATTTCAGAGATTTAAAGCCATTTCCGACTCACCTGTGATGTTGTGCTGGAAAATGTGTCCCACTACATTGATGACGATCGGGTGCAGGTTGAGCAGAACATCGGGGTGCTCCTCCATCACACTGAGCAGAGTTTCGATCGTGTTGAGCAGGCTCATGGCCGTTATGGCCTTCTCATCGGATCCTTCCTCGGACTCCAGGACTTGGCTGAAGGTGGTGGCCAGATGTTGGCAGATCTCGGTGGCCACTGGCAGCAGCTGCTCGGTGAAGGTGCACACGATCTTTTGCATCACGTTTGTCAGATCCTCGTTCTCCGTTTCTCGGATGATGGTGAGCAGCTCCTTGGTGATCTCCTTGATCTGCCCCTCCACGTATTGCGGAGCCTCGTCCTGGGACGATAGGAACATCTGCAGGCCGATGGCTGCCTCCACCTTGACGGGCAGCTCCTTATCCGTGAGCAGAGCGTTGGTGGTCAACCGCATAATCTCGGCCAGCACCTGGGGATTCTTGATCTGCACGTCGCAGAAGTAGTGCAGCACCCAGCAGGCACGCGCCCTCATGTGTCCCGCGGGATTCTGGAATTCAGGGAACACGTAGGTTGTCAGCATGGACTCCACTTGATCGCGGTACAGAGCCTTCTTCAGCAGCACGTCCGCCAGCGTTCCAATCATGTGCAATGCACCATCCTTCTGCTTGTTGTCCGCATTCGGAGACGTAATTATCTGCATAATTGTGGCCATGGCCTTGGGCAAGATGCCCTTGCGTTTCTTGCAGATGGAATGCAGCAGGGATTGGGCAGCCGGAACGGGCGTGGCATAGTCCTCAAAGATATCTGTTTGGCGAAGGGTAAAGAATGTTAGTAATGGAGTTTAATTTACTTTAAAAGTTTTCTTACCAAACTTCAGGCGAATATATTCATAGGGATCGCTCTCCCAGAGCTCCTGATCCGAGTCTGTGAACGACATAATGGGAAAGATCACATCCTGGATAACAGCAACCATGTGAGGTTTGATCAGCTTCCAAGTGTAGGCGTGGCTAACACTGCAAAAGAAAAAACATGTAAAACGTTTATAACAGTTACGACTTTATAGTAATATTATTTATTAATAAGTTGTAGAAAGTGGTTTCTTATGCTGTCATAAAAATCTCAGTTATTTAAACTTATTTTTTTATGTATGTTTAGGTAATCAAATGGCTCTACTTTGTTTAGGAACAAACCAGTTTGAGGGTAAATAAATAAAAAAAGAGGTAGAAAAAGGTACTAATTTTCATTGGCATGGCAAAATCTTCTTGGCTCAGGCTAAACCTAACCAGTACTAACTGATTGAAATTGACTTATTTAACTGCAGGTGTATAGGCAATACCTTATCAGCAATAAACATTGAAAGACTTGTTCCTTATCACTGATAAGCTATGACCTACAGATCAGAAGAAAGTACTAAGATAACGATTTTAAAAACTTTTAATTTAAGGGCAATTTAAGATTGAAGATTAAAGTTCATTAAAGAGAAACATTATATTCAGTCAATTCAAATTGATTAAGGATACTTACGCATTCTTCAGATAGTTAAGCACATCGGTGAGGACACGGGGCGAGACGTAGACACGGTTTCGGAACTGGTCGAGGATCTTGAGGAGCACCTCCAGGACGCCTTGGCTGAACGTGGGCAGATACCACTCGGCGAATTTTTGGTATTTTTCACTAACCACATTGCTAGGACTGCCATAACTGAGGAAATACATGCAGCTTTAGTTATGTGGTCTATAAATTAAAGGATTTCCCCAACGCACCGCTCAAACATGCGAACCATGATGTGGAGGGCCCACTTCTTGGTTTTCCAGTAGGGGAACTCTGTCCGCTCGTCATCGTCCAGGTGCGAGCTGTCGGGCACAGCACGATCGGCCACCTGACGGCAGATCTCCATCCACTGCGAGAAAATCTCCTTGGTGATGAGGTCCAGCGGCAGGCTGTATTGCGTTAGGGCGTAGTAGATCTTGAGGACCTGTTTCTGCAGCAGCACCGACTGCTCGGATTGCTCCGCCAGCAGCCGCACCATCAGCTGGTAGATCATAGGCAGCAGCAGGTTCATGGCCTCGTTCAGCGGCGTTCGCTCTTCGCTGCGTTTGTACTCGTAGGTCTTGACCAGCTGGTACATGGTCACCAGAGCTCCGTTCCAGCCGTTGACATCCTGGTTCTGCAGATAGATGCTGACGTTGTCCACCACCTGTGGCCAGCGTCCGGGGAAATCACTCTTGATAATGTGATTCACGCAGACCGACAGTTGGACCCTGGTTAGCAGAAGAACATGAACATTCTGAAGGGCGTTTTAAAGGGGGAAAACCCACCTGATCAGCTCGGGGGCATGCACAATGGCGTCGACAATAGCGCCACGGATCATGGCCCGATCCTGCTCGTGTATGGAGAACGGTATGGGCTCGCCGGGCTTGGCCTCGTGATCCGACCAGCTGCTGTTGATCAGATTCTTGAGGTAGACAGCTCCTGCCTGGCGCACCGGCTGCTCCACCGTCGTCTGCATCACGATCTGCAGTATGGTGGGCACGAATCCAATGATTTTGTGTATCTGTGGGGCAATTGAAATAGTATAGAATGTAAAGATTTGTTTACACAGCTGTTTGGGGTGGGGTTAAATTTGATTTGTCCAAAGAATCGATGGCAGAAGCACTTAAAATTCAACGCACAGAGGCTCAATTAATGCGGAGGAGCCAAGAGTTGTTGCTGGCCATAAATGCTGATAAAGTTAATTAACATAGGGGGTGGTTGGGGGGTGATTGGGAGGGGCATGCAAATCGTTAGATGCTGACTCAGTCGTAATGAGCATGCCTGTACAGTGGGCAAAAAGCAATTGGTTTTGTGGCGAGGGGCCCAATTAGATTGTCCACCCTGATTGGACACATTTAATTCCAAGGGGATTGCGTAAGCTCCAATTAGAGGGATATTAACAAGCGATTAATTCATTATTTATTAACAATTCAATTGATTTCTTAGGAATCAAAAGGGAAACCACAGTGCAAAGGTGTATATATAGCACACATACATATATACCCCTAAGATATATAGACTTGTTGCCTTTTGGGGGACAAAATAAAAGTTGGGATAATGGTAAACACATAAAGGGCAAACTTTTTGACCGATATCGGTTTACACTATCCCCACCCACACACACATAAAAAGTCAAAAGAGAGAGAGGGAGGTTAAAAGCGAACAATTAAAAAAGCACATGGTTTTTGGACGATGGCGCCACCACGAAGACCTTTCAAATTGGGGGGATTTCTTTCGGGGGCGGATGTGGACTCACCTGGGCCAGTTGATCCTCGGCCGCCTTGCGCTGCTCCGGATTTGGATCAATAGTTGCGCGCAACAGTTCCGTGAGTTTTTGTGCCTCCATTTTTGCAACTTATGAGTGCTTTTCCACGTTTCGCCGGTCTTTCTACTGGCGGTCACCTTGCGCCCACTCTGCACCCGCTGCGTTTCCTGGTTTTCGAGCTCGATCTGTTGCCGCACAAGTGCCTCCTGGCTCCAAATGTGGGGGCCCAATAGCAAATCACTTTTCCGGAGGAAAAAACGTGGAAAAGGCTCCACACACGCACACACCGCCGAAATTCGCGAGACGAACGAAGCGTGAAGAAGAAGCAGTGACAGATGTGTTGGAAACTGCCGCGGAGTAGGGCGCGAACAGTGCTGGAAATTACGTCTTTAGCTTTTTCCGCCAAATCTGGCTAGTGTAAAAGCAGTAGATGTGGTGACTTGGCTTTTTCTTTTATTAGCAGTTGGTTTATTCCACTGAGGCCCATTTTCTTGTCCCAATGGTAAACTAATAGATGTTTTAAGCGTATTAAATTTCATAAGTTTTGTTTCTTTTCAACCCTTCTTTTAGCTTACCATGGAGGCTTATGTCAGTTGCAGTAATAAAATGGTTAAAAACGTATGTTTTTATAAAAATTGTTTAATACACAAATTACTATCATTTTTTCTATGCACACTATGTTATAACTAAATAAAACTGTAATAGCGTGAATTATTATTATTATTTTCTTCAATTAAGTTAGTTTTTGAACGACAGGATCGGTACTTCAGAATATAACAGCTGTTTTGTAAAGCGATCTGGCAACACTGCAGCGGAGCTGCCACTGCAGTAAACAACAATTATTTACATTATTTTGTAGAACATAATTTACTGGGTAATGGCTGATTTAGTACGCGGAGAAGCCTCTGAATCGGATGAGGAGCTGCAGGACAAGCACAAGGTGATTTGGGCTGTCATAAGGGAAAACATTTCCTTATAATAACATTGGCTTCATATAAGATTTTCGCAGCTGAAGTTTCTGGTGAGGCTTCAGAGGATGATGATGAAGACATTTACGAGCAACATCAAAGCAGCAGCAAGTTGAACAGCACTGCCTCCATTTACAGGAATAATCTGCTGCAACGCAAACTGAGTAGCTTAGATAGCCTTTGTTCCAAATAATTTTATAACCATATATGCATACCTTTTTCAGTTGAAAACAACATTGCTATTTGGAGATCTCTCGCCGCTTTCACCCGCAGCTTTGTCCTAAATGCCTCCAAGCAACTGGTGACTACTGACCAAATGCTCATCAAATCGCAGGTCAATCTACAATCGGCACACACATCTCTCCAGCAGGCCCAGAGGAATGCTCAGGAACTTCAGTCCAGGGTGGCTGCGGTGATGACCAGCAGCTTCCTACCACACATAAACACCCAGAAAGCTAGCTGATTTATAACCTATGCTGTATTTTCTGATAAACGATCAAATCTAGGCTAATCCTCTGTGTCGGAATTGGGCGCATAGAGCTGAGTATTAGGAGACGGCTCCCGCGGGACGTAGGTGCTTTGAAAGCACCGCGAGAATATTGTTCGCATCTTGTTCGGTCGTTCAGGTGACTGGGGTATGGTTTCATCCTCGTCGGAGGGTATTTCCGGCGGTTTAGCTTCTGGGGAATCGTCCGTGTTGATAAAGCAAACCTGCGTGCTGTTGGGAGGTGCCGGGGCAGGTGCCATTGTGGCCTCCAAAGCGGCATCCGCAGCCGCCAGCATAAGGGCCTCCTCTTCCGCCTCATCCTCAATCAAAACCACGGTGTCCACCTCGGCCAGAACGCGTGGCTGCTGGACAGAAGGAGCTTCCGAGTGGCGAAACTGGAACAGAGGAGACTCTAAGCTGGTTTCCAAGTGGCTTTCCTCCACTCTACGTTTTTGCTGCACTGCATCCGGTTGGGAAGAGCTATTCTTGCGCTTGCTTGCTACATTTGGACCAAAAGTGCTGCTTTTTCGCTTTGCAACCGCCGCTCGTACATATTCATCATGCAGGGTCAAATCCCTTTGACAATAATCCTCCGAGAAGCTCACTTCATCAGGTGATAGCGTGGACATGATCAACAAGCACTCAATCTCGCCATGCTTATTGATCTTAAGCAGGAAGGGCTTGCCCGCATCGTCGAACTCCAAAGTCAGCGAAGCATTTAAACACTCAGCGAACACAAGAAAGGCTCGGAATTCCTTGATGCAAAAGGTGATAATCGTTTCCTTGGTCACCGTGTACTGATCGAATTCACTGGGCTTGAGTTTCAGCTGCGTACGCATGAATTTATCATTAACTCGGGCTCCTTCAATGTAGTTTTTGGCCACCATACTCCCCGAGTTTGCCTCCAAGGTAAGTTCCTCCTCCGTGGTGTTGAAGTAGTTGGAGATGTCCATGAACAGTTTGTGATCGCCACGGATTCTGAAAATATAGATTATATATTTATTTAGTTGTATAGTGTTTTATTATAGATTAAGAATTATATTAAAATCAATAAGAAGTTTTTGAATAGAGAACAATAGATAAATGTGAAATGTTTCTAGTTTTAACAAGGGCAGGTATTATCTGGGTGTATAGGATATTTGAACTAATTTCTTCTATTCGTATTCAGATTCCCCAGTTTTAAACTTGTATGGAAGAGGTACCTCAAATACTATTTGTAAATAGAAGATTCTTAACTTTTAAGTGAAATAATACTACGCTATACTATTAAATCTAATACCATGTTAAAGCTCACAGAAGTAACCTACTTGTTTGGCATCTGATCGGTGTTGATGTTTGTGTTTATGTTTTGGTCATCTATGATGGATATGGTGGCTTCTTTTGTGGTCTCCAATTTGCACCGGAGATTTACTTGGAGGCTTGTTTGGTTGTCCAGTATATTAAGTTCACAGTACTCCACCTGAAGTGCAAAACATGTTTTCAGATTACTAATCATGTGGGATCCCTTAAAAACTCATACCTCGTTCATGTTGCGGAACACAGCCAGACATCCCCTCATGGATATCTTGCAGTAAAAATCCGAATGCGGTGGCATGTCAAACACTTCAAACATGGATCGTCTGAAGGATATGCTGCCCACCGCCGATTGAGTGGCATTTATAGCTCTCATTTGCAGTCCCTGTTGGTCAATCTCAATAAACATTTCCTTGCCCATCTTGGACAGCGATTGAACGGCTTTGGCAATGACTGAAAAGTGAATTGGGGCATAACGAAATCAGTGATTAGGAATACCAGGTGTCCCTTAACTTACCTCTTGCATTGCTGCCTTCTAAAGTGTACTTCATTGGCAATATTTGCAAAAAGTTTTGGTCATGAAATACGCGCTGAAATTTGTAAACAAAAAAGTAGAGTGATCGTATACCTCCAAGAAGAACAAATAAAATACCAAAACATGTTGTAGTTAAACTCGATTGTTTATTATTTTTATATTATATTTTATTTAAATACAATAAAAGTTTCTTGTATTTTGAAAAACAATTTTTTTTGCTTAGTTATTTTGATGATGATTTTATTAAACAACAGTTTGTAATAATAATGGGTTATCAGATGCTGGTTTTTCCCATATCGATAGTTTTTATTCTATGTTGTCTGGTCACACTGCTCACAGGCCGGTCGAACGCCACATCAGTTCTAAATTTAATTAACAAAAACTGGGCTAAAGCCAGCTAATAACTGGTGAAAAGTGAAGTTTCCTGCGAAAGAACACCTATAGTTCTTCTGCGTTGGCACACTCGTAATGTGCGTTGTGGAAAATCCGTAGAAAACGAGTGGAAACAATGTTACGTGCAGTGGGTTTGTGTGTGTCGGTGGTGCTCCTAGCACTACTTTATAGACCGATTTCTGGCGAATCGAGTCAGAGCTATCCAATCACCACGCTGATCAATGCCAAGTGGACCCAAACGCCTCTGTATCTGGAGGTCGCCGAATATCTAGCCGATGAGCAGGCGGGTCTCTTCTGGGATTACGTTTCGGGGGTGGCAAAATTGGACACGGCTCTAAATGAATACGGTTTGTTTAAATAAGTTATGGTTGAACCCGCATTATAAGACTGTCATCTTTCCTGCAGATCTTTATTTGAAAGTCGTTCTTATAATGTGAATTTCCTCTTGAAGAGACTGTTTTTTATTGATTACTCATCCCCCTTTTAGATACCGAGTCGCAGCAGTACAATGCCGCTTTGGAACTGGTCAAGACCCACGTAAGTTCGCCCCAGTTGCCGTTGCTCAAGTTGGTGGTCTCCATGCACAGCCTGACGCCCAAGATCCAGACCCACTTCCAGTTGGCACAGGAGCTGAGGAGCAGTGGCTCGTGTCAGGGTTTCACTTTCGCCCAGGTTGGCTCCGAATTGGCCTGCAGTTTTAACGAGTTGCAGAAGAAATTGCAATTGGCGCTGGCCAAGGAGAGTTTGGATGCGCCCGTTGTCACCTACAGCTTTGATCACATATTTCCGGGCAGTGAGAATAATACCCGCACTGTGGTTTTGTACGGCGATTTGGGAAGCTCTCAATTCCGCACCTATCACAAGTTACTGGAAAAGGAAGCCAATGCTGGCAAGATACGTTATATCCTGCGTCATCATTTGGCCAAAAAGGACAAGCGACCAGTACGCCTATCGGGCTACGGAGTGGAACTCCACCTCAAGAACACGGAATACAAGAGCCAGGATGATGCCCCCAAACCCGAAGCGGGCTCTACTTCCGATGAGGATCTGGCTAATGAATCCGATGTTCAGGGCTTCGATTTCAAAGTCCTAAAGCAAAAGCATCCTGCTCTTAAAAGAGCGCTGGACCAACTGCGTCAAAGACTTCTCCAGGGAAACGATGAGATTGCCCAACTTAAAGCCTGGGAGTTCCAGGACTTGGGCCTCCAGGCAGCCGCTGCCGTAGCCGAAATTCAAGGTGATGAAACTCTGCAAATTCTGCAATACACCGCCCACAATTTCCCCATGTTGGCCAGAACCTTGCTGGCGCACAAAGTGACGGATGGCCTGAGGGCTGAGGTCAAGCACAATACAGAAGCGTTCGGTAGAAGCTTGAATGTGGCTCCTCCAGATGGTGCACTCTTTATCAACGGACTCTTCTTCGACGCCGACACCATGGATCTGTACTCTCTGATTGAGACGTTGCGCTCGGAAATGCGTGTTCTGGAGAGCCTGCATAGCAACAACGTGCGGGGTAACCTGGCTAGCTCCTTGCTGGCCTTGGATCTTACCGCCTCCAGCAAAAAGGAGTTCGCCATCGATATCCGGGACACTGCTGTGCAGTGGGTTAACGATATTGAAAACGATTTGCAGTACAGGAGGTGGCCTTCGTCGGTTATGGATCTCTTGCGCCCAACGTTCCCTGGCATGCTGAGGAATATCCGAAAGAATGTGTTCAACTTGGTTTTGGTGGTGGATGCCCTGCAGCCCACAGCCAGGAGTGTGATTAAGCTGTCCGAATCGTTTGTCATTCATCAAGCTCCCATCCGCTTGGGTTTGGTCTTCGATGCAAGAGCTGCCAGCAAGGATAATCTTGAGGATTACATTGCCATCACTTGTGCTTTCAACTATGTGAGTCAGAAGAAGGATGCCCGAGCTGCTTTGAGTTTCCTTACGGATATATATGCAGCAGTGGGTGAGACCAAAGTGGTCACGAAAACGGACATAGTAAAGCAGCTATCAAAGGAGTTTACTACCTTAAGCTTTGCCAAAGCCGAGGAGTTCCTGGAGGAGGATTCCACCTACGATTATGGCAGGGAGCTGGCCGCGGAGTTCATTCAGCGGTTGGGTTTCGGTGACAAGGGACAACCTCAGGCTCTGCTGAACGGCGTTCCAATGCCCAGTAACGTTGTAACCGCTGATAGTGACTTCGAGGAGGCCATCTTCACCGAGATTATGACTCACACCACCAATCTGCAAAAAGCAGTGTACAAGGGTGAAATGACGGACAGCGATGTGGCTATTGATTACCTGATGAACCAACCCCATGTGATGCCTAGATTGAACCAGAGGATTCTCAGCCAGGAGGATGTTAAATACCTGGATATTAATGGCGTGGCCTATAAGAATCTTGGTAACGTAGGTGTTTTGAATCGTCTGTCGAATCGGGATATGACCGCCACGTTGATGGATAATCTTAAATACTTTGGAGGCAAGAAGTCTACGGAGTTGATTGGCCGATCATCGCTCCAGTTCCTCACGATTTGGGTATTTGCGGATCTGGAGACCGAACAGGGTCGAGCGTTGCTAACTCATGCTTTGGAATATGTCCAGAGTGGAGAGAGTGTGCGTCTGGCATTTATTCCGAACACAGAAAGCTCTTCCGGATCCAACAAGCGGAATCTGAATCGCCTGGTTTGGGCCGCCATGCAAAGTCTTCCACCAATCCAAGCCACAGAGCAGGTTCTCAAGTGGCTGAAGAAACCAAATGAGAAGATTGAGATACCCTCTCAGTTGGAGGATATTCTCGGATCCACAGAGCTTCATTTGAAGATGTTGAGGGTATATTCCCAGCGTGTCCTGGGTCTGAATAAATCCCAGCGATTGGTCATCGGCAATGGACGTCTTTATGGTCCTCTGTCCCCGGAGGAAACCTTTGATAGCGCTGATTTCGCTTTGCTGGCCCGTTTTAGTTCCCTGCAGTACGGCGATAAGGTGCGCCAGGTCTTGAAGGAATCTGCTCAGGATGTCAGTGAGGAATTCACAAGCGACACTTTGGTCAAGCTTTATGCTAGTTTGCTTCCCAGGCAAACAAAAACTCGATTCAAGCTACCTACGGACCTGAAAACCGAACACTCGGTCGTGAAACTGCCGCCCAAACAAGAGAAACTCCCTCACTTTGATATAGCCGCCGTTTTGGATCCCGCCTCTCGAGCAGCCCAAAAACTAACGCCCATACTAATTTTGCTCCGTCAAGTGCTGAACTGCCAACTGAATTTGTATCTGATTCCTGTGCCCCAGCACAGCGATATGCCCGTGAAGAACTTCTACAGATATGTAGTCGAACCGGAGGTTCAATTCGAAGTGAATGGCGGCCGATCCGATGGTCCGTCGGCCAAATTCAGTGGATTGCCTGCCAATCCTCTGCTAACTCAGCAGCTGCAGGTTCCCGAGAACTGGTTGGTTGAAGCTGTGCGAGCGGTTTACGATTTGGATAACATTAAGTTGACCGAGATTGGTGGACCAGTACACAGCGAATTCGATTTGGAGTATCTGCTGTTGGAAGGTCATTGCTTTGACGCCGCTAGTGGTGCGCCTCCCAGAGGATTACAGTTGGTGCTGGGCACCCAGAGTCAACCAAGTCTGGTGGACACCATTGTTATGGCCAATCTGGGTTATTTCCAACTGAAAGCCAATCCCGGAGCTTGGTCGCTGCGCCTGCGTGATGGAAAATCCTCGGATATATATGCAATAAGTCACATTGAAGGCACAAATACCCATCATACACCTGGGTCAACTGAAGTTCAGGCTCTTATAACCTCTCTGCGATCCCATGTCGTCAAGTTGAGGGTATCCAAAAAGCCAGGAATGCAGCAGGCGGAACTCCTAGCTGATGACAACGAACAGGCAGCGCAATCTGGCATTTGGAACAGCATCGCCAGCAGTTTTGGCGGTAGCAATGCTAACCAGGCGACTCCTGACGAGGATACAGAAACCATAAACATTTTCTCTGTGGCATCGGGACATCTCTACGAACGTCTGCTTAGGATCATGATGGTCTCGCTGCTGAAGCACACAAAATCTCCCGTAAAATTCTGGTTTTTGAAGAACTATCTATCGCCGCAGTTCACCGATTTTCTGCCTCACATGGCCAGTGAGTACAACTTCCAGTACGAGTTGGTCCAATACAAATGGCCGCGTTGGCTGCACCAGCAAACGGAGAAACAGAGGACCATTTGGGGCTACAAGATCCTCTTCCTGGATGTGCTCTTCCCGCTGAATGTTAGAAAAATCATTTTCGTGGATGCCGATGCCATAGTAAGAACCGATATTAAGGAGCTTTATGACTTGGATCTCGGAGGAGCGCCCTATGCCTACACGCCCTTCTGCGATTCCCGCAAAGAGATGGAGGGGTTCCGTTTCTGGAAGCAAGGATACTGGAGAAGCCATCTGATGGGCAGGCGCTACCACATTTCCGCTCTGTACGTGGTCGACTTGAAGAGATTCCGCAAAATTGCTGCCGGTGATAGGCTGAGAGGTCAATACCAGGCACTCAGCCAGGATCCAAATAGCTTATCCAATCTGGATCAGGATTTGCCCAACAACATGATCCACCAGGTGGCCATCAAATCCCTGCCCGACGATTGGCTTTGGTGTCAGACGTGGTGCAGCGACAGCAACTTCAAGACCGCCAAGGTGATCGATCTGTGCAAC